CCCCCCCCTCACCGTGTAAGGGGCTTAATGGTCTTTAAACCCAACATCTATGCTACACCTTTGATTAAACTCTGTTTTTGAACACGGCCATTGTCCCTTGCAGAGGTAAAAGTTTTTTCATTTTTCATTCAACTATCTGTTTAAACTTGTCTCTAGGAAAATCGACAAATTCATCCTGTGTTGCTATGCCAAGAAAGCCATCAAAAACTTGGACTGCCAAAGCAATGACAAAAATGAATTCTCCAGCTGCGATGACATGATGAAATACCCATTAATCCGTGCGTGCCTCTGGGTGCTTGGCATCCTGGCCACTTTCGGTAACTTGATTGTCCTTATTTGGCGCGCATTGGTGCCCGACAACAATCGTGTGCAGTCGCTACTCCTTTCCAATTTAGCAATGGCCGATTTTCTCATGGGTGTTTACTTACTGACTCTTGCCGCACTGGACTCCAAGTGGAAAGGGGAGTACTTCATTCACGATGTCTCATGGCGCAATAGTCCTTCTTGCCGGATCGTGGGAGCAATTTCTATGCTTTCCAGTGAAGTTTCCGTGGCAATGCTAACTATAACAACCGCGGACAGGCTAATATGCGTGGTTTTTGCTCTCAAATTTGAGAGAATGACACTTAAATCCGCCTATATGGTTTGTCTGTGCGTCTGGGTAGTGGGTGTGGTCTTGTCCATAATACCCATATTGGACATAGAGTACTTCCTCGGCAATTCAAACGGGATGAGCTTTTTCTCGCAGTCAGCAGTTTGCTTACCTTTGCAGCTTTCCAGCGAGAAACCCTCGGGTTGGGAATATTTCATGGCGATCTTCATAATCTTCAACTTTTGTTCGTTTTTCTTCATTCTCGTCGCATATATGGCCATCTACTGGACCATAATGAAACTGGTCGGCGGATCAGCATCTGCACACATGCAACAAGAGTCTGCACGAGCCATTCGTCTTTTCATCATTGTGTTGACAGATTTTTTATGCTGGATGCCGGTTATCATTATGGGTATCATGTCTTTGACAAACGCTTCCTACTTTTCTAATCTCACAGGCATGGTTTATGTCTGGGTGGCCGTTTTCGTTCTTCCTCTCAACTCATCAGTGAATCCAATCTTGTACACTCTCGCCACTTCAAAAGTGAAAGAAAAACTTGGGTCTGTCTTCTCAAAGTTTTCCATTCGTAACAAGCAAGGTAATGTGTCGAAGTAAAGATATAGTGTTTCCTCGAATAATCGCCCGAGTGCTTAATATTTAAAACTTCAGCTAAAAGGAGGGGTGCTAATTAAAACTAGGGCGCCTAATCGAGGACGGCGCTAATAAAGTTAGCGCAGCAGTAAGAAGAAAATTAAATGAACAGGCCACGCACATAAAGGAACTCCGCAAGAGCATGGAGATTGAAATAATTGGAAATGATTTCCTCAATGGAAATGAAACTTTTCTCCTGTACTTAATGAAAGAGGTCAGTTGAAGCTTAAAAGATAAAAATGAAGTGGTAATAGAAACAGGTTTTCCTTGTTTTCCTACTATTTAAGAAAGTGAGGGAGATGAGGGGAGGGGGGGCGCTTAATCGAGAAAGGTGCTTGTTTGACATAGCAGCTTAAAGGGGAGGGCACTTATTGGAGCGTAAGCGCTTATTCGACGAAACACGGTAGAAAAAAAACTTTCATATCAGGGTCACAAAGGCAATTTATTTTTCCGATTTTCCTTCTTTCTTGTCTCTGCCTTCTCTCCTAATCTCGTACCCAGATCCTACGGTGGAACTGGAATGTACGCACGGCCGTGTAAATTCTGGGTACGAGACTATTTCCCTCCTTCCCTTGCACCGTTTTTGCAAGAGGGAAGATTTGCAGAAGAGGCCCATCATGCAGTGCTATCTTTGAAACACTATCTTGTAAAAACTTGAGTGCCGCGTTTTGTCTTTTTCCTTTTCCAGGACGTGCCCATCCAAGTCTTGAAATGGCCAGCATGCCCTCCGACCGCAATTATGCAAACACGATTGACTGGAGTATTAGTTCAGATCTTACCTCCCCTCCCATGACTATAGTTGAAGTACCGTTGATTCTTCAGGAGGAATCAAGTGACAAAATTGTACGACGCTGAGTTTATGAGTTTAATTCTCGACGAGTTTCTCAAAACTACATCTCTTGGAAATATTTTAGAGCTTTCTGCACGAAATTAAATAAGCTCTGAATCAAGGCATTTGATACATACCCTGATCAAACATATTTGTTTAAGAAAGCCATGCAAACGAAATAGCTTTTTTTCGGGTTAATTACATCAGAAGGAACAGAATACGTTCAACGTTCAAGGATAGTTTCGAAGTATGAGGAGAGGGCAAGGGCGTCGCTGAAGGGATTTAGGGGTATTCATTTAAAGCTTCATTCTCAGTCAGAATATATTTATGGAAGTGCGAATAAAAAAACATTTTGTGCCGACTCTGATAAGAGTTCCACCAAAATTGTGTATCGGGAGAACACGAGCTCACGTCCTATTGAGTGTGTATATGTTATTATTTTGATCGTTAAGAAAGTTCTCCTTATTCAACTTGTTGAGGCTGTTTCTTCAATCATCATACAGGGTTATGTAGTTTGTCGCGAAGAGGATCCGCAAACCGACGAACCTCCTTTGTTCCTCGTCAAATGGTTTTCACAAGACAAATTACAAGAGTGGGAAAGAGAGGTGTCCATCTACATAAAGATGTCACAGACGGGGAATCATCCCTGTGTTTTACCTTACCTCTGGCACTTAAAAGGTGAGATGATCTAAATACCTGGCGTTGAAGGTGTCCTAGCATGCCACTGCTCAAAATACATGTTTTACAAGTACTCTCGGTTGTCATGACACGGCCACCGTCGTGTCACGCTTGTGTAACGCTTGCCGTACAACCATCTTAAACGATCGTCGATGTCGTGTTCAAGCTGAGATCAGTGGAAAATCCCGAAAAAATCCCACTTACATGTCTGAGTGTGACCCCATCCAGCTAAACATGTGATAAATCCTTTTTTTTAGCCACCAGACCTACAAATTATACATAATTCACTCTATTTTTAGCCGAGGGTTGTCGACTGACCAGGAGTCACGGTGATCTACCATCATTGCCACCGCAAACCTGGTGAGTTACTTTTTATTTTATTAATCGAGTGACAAAATACAGAGAAAGAGTATTTAAATATTTTGTCTTATCGGCACACTGTACTCGATCTTTCATGTTCCTCCACCCTCATTAGCAATATTTCATCATTTCTAACAATCATGATAATTAATATTATGATCACTAGAAGTAAGAAAAGGAGTATGAGATATTTGCAATAGAGCGCTTTTCGATCAAGGGTTCGATACAAAAATCAAAGTATTCATGCCGTGCATTCAGAACAAAGAGGAAAGTCAGAGAGAGTCGAAGAGAAGTCAGAGTAACTCGACATAGGCGACCTAAAGCGCTGGAAAACGTGAATGGCCATGTAAATCATGTTTGAACCAGATTGGTTGGGAATCAGAGATGGGGTAAAACTCCTTGGCCAATCACTACAAAGCCAAGTGAACGCAATGGCGGACTACTCACGACTCTTAATCGATGATGAATGGATGATTAAACTTCTATACACGAGAATAAAAACTGTGATGAAGAGGACTCATTTTTGCAGAAAGGAACAGACTAGTTGTTATTTTTTTTTTAAGTGCATGTGCTTATTCTGAAGGTCTTCTTTACATAGCGTCGGGTCTGTCATATATTGGTGACGCAAACCAACCATATATGAGAGGTGAACTCTCTGTATTGGTAGTCCCCTTGCTAATTTAATAAAAAAGAACAAAAACAAACTACGGCCTCCAAGTGAGTACTGAAATGATTTCGTTTGTTGTTTTTTCTTTTCTTTTTTTTTCGTAATTAGGCTCATCTGCTTCCAGTTTGTATCAAACATAACACTGGGCGCGTTCATGAGGGACGAATCCGCCGCCATACTCGAGGCCAAACTTCTTTGTAGACTAGCCACTGATGTCCTCCAAGCTTTACGGTTCATACACCAGTGTGGTATTTGCCACAACAACATCAACATTGATAGCATTTTAATACAAAAAGACACGGGGAGGGTAAGAAATAGAATTGTCTATCCTTGTTAAAAGTAGGCTGCTTCTGTGCATCTTTGTCGTAGGAGACGCGTAAGGTACCATGAGACGCCATGTGCTAGCTTTCACACTTTTGCTCTAAATGGAGGACAGTATTTGGGGTATTTCTGTTGAAGAAAGGAGCATATCAACTATAGGATTTGTTTGCCGAGTTTAGCACCAAATTATCAAGTATAAAATTGGGGAATTGTGAGAACAGTAGACACAGTAGGATATTTACATGAAGGTTAGCTCAGAGGCTGAGTCAAGCCTTAGTCTCCTTACAAGGACAAAAATATTTAGTCTCAACACAATTTAAACTTATTATCCATCAAGTAGATAATAATTACTAAGATAGGAAGAACTGCCCTTCACACTCTCTCTCTGATCAAATACAATGTTTTAGCTTAATGCGACACCAAATTCCATCAACCAATTTACTAAGGACATGATGTACATCCCATAGCAGGGGTAATAAAATACAAGATTCCAGAAGTTTACGGTGTAATAAATATATGCTTAGAGGTACCCCCTCGAAGGGCACACCTATCCAAGGCTGGAAGTGAAACACAAGAAAAGGTTTTTCTGAGGCAGGCGAAAGAGTTAGGGGCACGCAAACAGTTGGTGGGTTATCCAAGGAAGAAGCACGAAAAAGTGTGCTTTGTTTTATGCAAAACACTTGGTACGTCTTTTATTTGATAGTCACAAGATTTTTAGGCTGCTATGCTTTACTTCTTACAACAGTTTCCCAGCTTCCGCGCGGTTCTATGTGGTTTTGGTTGCGCTTCTCATCACAATCCAGTAACCTTGCCTGATGACATGGTTCAGTTTGCTCAGCTGTTACGCGTGATGACTGACAGATGTGCTGAGCTTCAGGACACAATTGAAGAGGTACAGTATAAACAATAACCAGCCATTACCGATGTTCACTATCAAACACCCTTATGCGAAAATTAATACCGTATACAGCTGTTTCATGAAAGGTTGTCGGTAGAAAGACGAAAGGACAAGCAGCAAAAATCTAGAATGGTAATCTGGGTGTCCAGTAATCAACGAATTTTAATCAGTCAAATAAATAAATGAATTTATAAAATAATTCAAATAGTACGCGCACTCTGATTGGCCATAAAACCATTTTACATGAGCGTATGTAAACACGGTTTTCGTTCCCCTTTCATTAGTTATTTTATAAAAGAAATGTAAAATGGTTTCCGTGTTTACATAGCCTGCTATGCTGCTAGCCGGCTAAGTGTTTACATAGCCTTATCTCGTGTTCTCCCAACCTCCCGCGTGTTTACATCAGGCTATGTAAACACGGAAACCATTTTACATTTCTTCATTATTAAACCCACGATGCCTCGTCCTTACATTAACGTTTTCTCAGATTTCCCTGAGATCCTGAGGTCAAAGAAAAATGGCCTGGAAACTACCCACAATACTTTTCGGAGTCGACAACCTTTATAGAAACAAGTTGTAAACCCTGAACATTGTCGTGATGTACATCGTGAATAAAAGTTTGCACTGTGAAAGGGAACGTTGTTTTCCTCGTGAACAGCGTGTACCTAAAGCTAGATTCTTAGTCGTTCAGAAAATACTGAAAAAATTATCAAACATTCACTCAAAACGAGACCATTTGATCGCCTCTCTTCCAATACTCTTTTCTACAGCAGGAGGAAGTGCCCCACCTTTTAAATTAACGATCTGTGCGACAATTGGACGAACCGCTCAAACGTTTCTCTGATTCCTTTCCAGATCGAGGAAATAGTGAAAATCTGGAGTAACAGTGAACACTCCAAAAACAAGATACTCGCGAAGCTGGAGGCTCTATGCAAGTAAAGGCAAAGATTTAAAGAAGAGGATCAAGTTCTGCCAATCTACTAATTTACATCACCTTCGATGTCTGGCCTTTGATCACGTAATGCCTTTCAATTCCAACATGGCGACGAAAGTTTCACTGGTCTTTAAAAAAAAAAACTGTTCGTACAGTGGCATTAAAATGCTACCTCTATGCGAGACTTCTTTAGTGGCTTGTCTCTTGCCTTAGAAATTAGCCTTCCGAGCCTCCTAAACACATGTAATCACGATGCAAATTTGCCGTTTGTCAGCGACCATGGAATATTTTTACCCTTACTAATCGACGGTGAAGCGAAGTCAATTGATAACTTGCCATAGTGTACATTGTAATGTGTCAGTCACCTCACCCCAATACTTCAACACCCTCGTTTTCCGACTTTATATTTTCATGAGCCGTAATAATCAATTTGTGCTGAGGATAGAGAATACAATGATGAATTTGAAAAAATGTGTTCATAAGAAAAACAATTCTGGCTGAACAACTTCTCTTTAATTTTCTGTAATATTTTTAAGTCATTTTGTTTCATGAAATTAACATTCTTACCAAGCATGTCTTAACTGTCCACAAAAACGGGGAGCAAAGTTGTTAACAAGCATCTAACTCGAACACGTTAACACTGACGAGCGCCAACTCTATAACATTGTTTGCATTTCAACAACAATTGAGCGAACTCCTTTAAGTTAAAACAAAGTACAATAACTTTCAGCTCTTGCATATATCTTCGTTGGTGCTTCTTAGAATTTCTCGTAGTGATCGTTTCAAGTTGTCTGATAATTACGTCTTGTTATCGGCCTTGGGCTCAGCACCACCCGCAGAGGATACTTCCATGCTCGATTCTCCGCCACTCTCCCCCTCCCCCTCTTTTTTCTCTTTCTTGGCTCCTTCCTCCCCCTGGCCACTGTCTTCGCGCCTTCTCTTAAAGCTTCTTCCGCGATTGCGTCGGAACTTTGATTGGGGCGGGAGTCGATCGATCGCGAGAACTTTGTGAAGTTGTCGGAAAGCTGTTAGTCGAAGGGCGTGCTAAAAAGGAAATAAATCATAATTTAAATGTCTACAAAATTAAAACTTTACTCTGTGACCAAAAAAAACCAAGTAAATAGGCCCATCAGGCTCATTAAATCAGTTTTTCCCTCCAGCAAGTGTCAGGTAAAATCTGCTCATCATTTGGGCCTTTGTAACCGAGAGTTAACGAGAAAACAAAAACTGATTCACACCACTAAAAAAGTATAAAACAGCAACAAAGACAAAACCATTAAAAAGGTGTGCCTCACCTGTGCTGAAGCCGTCAGATCTTCTCTTTCTTGCATTGAAACAGTACCAAGAGCATCAATAGTTTCCTTCTCACAAGGATCACTCAATCCTGGTCCACCTGTGGCACCAAAGAAAGAGAGTTTTCTACTTTGCTCACCAGATAATGCTAGAGCCAGCTTTTAAACAACCGAAAATTATAACTGCACCTTCTAGGAGAAGTCCACTAGAAATACATTCTAACACGCGGCGGAAAGCTTCTCCAGGTCCCAGCGCCTGCTGACTACTGCTAAGCGCCTTCTCCACCAACAGCTCCATCGCCTATGATAATCCATTTAACACAAGTAAGCAAAGTGTGAATAAATTTAAATCGCACAGATGCCTACCTTTAATTTTCAGTATTTTTTTTTAATCAATTTGCGATATTTAGACAGACTGGCCTAGATCAGCTTAAAGCTACTTGAAACAACAAGGCCAGCCTACAACGCCGGGAGCTGTTCCCAACTCTTTGCGAGAATTGTGTGGGTTCTTTAATGTTCCCCTGATAACCGGTACAAAGAAGAGACAGGAGACGGAGTCTGCGGTTTATCATTCTCACCCGAGAAAACTAGAGTGACTAATAGGCTTCAAGGTCGTGCACCGACAAAATACCAAATTCTCCCCACTTATAAAAAAAAGAAGCGAAATACTGCAAGAGGCGAGAGCTATGAGACAGATCTACAGGTTAAACTAGCTAGGTATTAACCAAAACAGATATATGCCATGGTCCAAGAGTGTAGTCTACAGTTTTTCCTTTCTTAACAATTGTATAGGCCAGTGCCTGGTTGTTGGAAACTGAATTAATGCAAAGAAAAACAGAACAATTTCCCTTGCTGAAAATACTAGTTAGAAGGCCGCTATATGAACGTTTCCCAAACAAGCACTGTATGCCAGCCAGCCAGTCCTTTCGACCACTAGAGAGCCTAAGACACCTTGCTTCAACCGTACCGCCCCTGGACTGAGAACATAAGAAGTGGTCCCTTAAAATATACGGTGCACATACCCAGTTGTTGAGAGGAGAAAAAGCCGGTATTCTTCGGCACAAATCACGCATGACGCGTATAATGATGACACAAGACTGCAAGCCGTTTGCTTTGGCCTGGAAAATGAAAACAAAGTAAGAATCAGAAAAGGAAACAATTTGTAATCACCGCGCAACTATGAATTTATGTTACCAAAATAAACCATGCATACATATGTACATAAAGTAGAACTGAGTATTGGTACATCATATTTAATGTAAACCCATGAAACATTTTCCGTAAAACTAAACTTCGTCAAAAGATGTATTTAATACTTCAAGGCCATTGCTCTATACTTATAACTGCACATATGAGATGCTCTCAAATACACACATTAACCCTTTACACCCTAAACTCAGTATGCATATTCTCCATACTGTTCTCTATACTTTCTCAGTAGCTGACAGGGAGAATTTGTTTAACAATCAAGAGCCTCTTTATTTGGTGATCTTTTCCTTTATTCTCATAACCTTAGGTGTGATTCAGGGGAATTATTGTCGGGAGAAATTATATGCTGGTCAATCTTAGGTGTCAAAGGGTTAATTAGTCTACACCAATGGAGATTTATAACCAACCTAAAATGTACATGTAAACTGCAAACCAGCACTCCACTCACCAATGAAATGCTCATTTACAAACAAGTTATTATTACATAGGAACCCACAAATACACCATGAAAACCAGAGGAGACACCTGGTGACTTCTGGTTTCCCAAAGAGGAAGTGTCACATATTTGCTCACAATACACATACCTGTTGACGACTTCAAATCAGAACTTCTCATCCAAATATATTTTAAATACAACCAGTAATTAACATGCATTTAACACTGCAGTTGGAAGTAAATTTGAAAACCACAACATGCACCTTACTATTTTCCAGAGTAGACCCAATGTATAAATGGCAGACACAATTAGTACTCTTTTGTATTCATGTAGATATGCCCTCCTAGCCTTGTTTAAGGAAGAATAAAACCTTACCTCAAAGACAAGGCTTATTGGGCTAATTCACTTGAGTACAAAAGAATACCAGTTCAGCCCACCATTTATGCATACCATCTATGCTTGGGTTCTTTTAAAGTACATCTCCATACAAAATTTGTAAACAAGCCAAAATCTGGGATGTCCATGTATTAAATATATATGTACTGTACTTAAAAACTGAATCAATTATTTGGAATTCTCATATTTATCAGATGTACCTCCAACAGCAGGACTACTACACTACATTGTAAGAGAGAATGTGACAATTCCTCTTAAAACAGCAAATGAGCCGAACCTGAAACCATTTAGCATGTCGTAGCGATGCCAATGCAGCTAAGCATTTTGGCCTGTCCAGCACTTGAGGATCATCTTCAGCTACGGGTGAGAATCGGGTGGATAAGCAGGAGGTGGAAAGATGTCCCAGCATATTCAAGGACAACACAACAATGCCACCAATACATCACAATCACATAAAACAATCAAGTAACAGTTGGGCTTAAAAAGGAAAATACTGGTGAATTCTGAATGAAAAGTGACCTTCGTGCAACATAGTGTTAGTGCTTCACAAATTTGTAATCAATGTGAAACAGAAGCTTTGTTTTCTCTTGTTTTTAAAGATCAAATGAGCCACAAAAGTGTGAATGAATCCTGGAACATGGTATTGAAAATATGCAAAGGACCATTCTGAATGCCACACAAACAAACACACACAAAGAGCCAAGAATCTTTCCATCTCCTCCTTCCACACTGTAGCATGGATGGAAGACATCTACATGTAGGTGTACAAGAATTACACACAGAATTCTGCAGATTTGCAACAACATCAGAATGATTATCAAGCACATGGCTGATAGGCTTTTTGCACGGGCATTGCTTCACAGTTAACAACATAATTATTTTGTATCCTTAGGCAAAATGGGATGCTTTTGGACTTAAGAGGAACACTCAATCAGTGATTGACTTTTCCACAAAACATTTCTAGTGCCCCCCTAAAAAAACAACTATACACCTTAGTTTTGAATTTTACCAAACATCAGTGATAAAAATGTTTCAAATAACTTTTTGGCCCTCGAATGGAAAGGTTGTATTTATGTTTGATAATGACTTTGAAATATATAAAATTACCTCAATTGAAAGCTGAACTTACAGATGACATCCAAAGGTTCCCAGTCAATGGTTGCAACTAATTAAATGCACTTGATTTGCATTTGTAGGCAATTTGATTCATGTTCCTCAAAAGCAACACCAGTTAGCAAGACACAAACATTTGTGTTTTTTAAGTATAAACCACTGGGCCCTTTATAAGATCTGTAATAGGCAACCACTGCTCACAAGTATACATTCAAAATATGTTTCCTCCTGTGTAAAATTTTTTAACTAAATATGTAAATCAGAATCACAATTTCCAAATTGGTTAAGGTTAATTTTGTTGCATCTAAAAAGTGACTTAACAAGGGCCCTGTGGTAGTGTAGAAGGTCATTTTAACAGGTACCGTGTTCTGCCTCCTCCCCCTCGCGCATGACAGGTGATGTCAGAGTGATGGTAACCACCACTTTTGGGTCAGTTGCAGTAGAAATTTTCATGGCAGCTTCCTCAGGCACTACCTTGAGATCATACTTCTCTTCTGTCACTTTCTGCCACAAAAATAAGATTGCAACAGATTATTTTTCACCCTTGAAACAAAAGCTGTTCAGGATTCTAATAGTATGCCACTGAAAACCTATACTTACTGCAAGATGTGCTGGCAGGAGGTCTGCTACTCTGTTCAGAAGCATCTTTGTTGGTTTATCTACTCGAAAGAAGGAAAACAATCTCCAATTAGCAAACTGATCATGGTATGTCATAAAAGGATTTCAAAGCAACTATTCAAGGTCAAGATACAATATACATGAAAGACAGTTATTTAAGAGAAGGATTCAAAAGAATTTCCTTACCGTGACAAAGCACAACCAAATCAACATCAAGGCGTTCATGAAGTAATAAGCCTTTTGCAAGCACACCAACTCTCATAACACCTTTAAGAGCTCCTAAAAATATTTAAAAAATAGCTTGATGAAAATCAAGTATGGGATAAAATGTTTGATAACAATTGTTAGAAAACCTCAGAGCTTGTTTGTAGCTCATCCTACAGTACAGCACCAAAAGCTTTTACCTTGTGTTAACACATTCATGTAGTGCAGTAAAAGAAAACTTTAAGCTCTTCACTACCTGTTAACCCTTTAACTCCCAAGATCTGATTGTTAATTCTCCCCTCTAACTGGCACACAATTCCATGTAAATAAGTTATGGGAATTTGGTGTTAGATCAAGGTAAAAACTTCTTCCTGATAAGTTTGAGTATTCTCATTACCTGGTGGCTGGATAATGTACGGATATTATAGGGAGAAGTTGCAAGTTACTCACTTCTGGGAGTTAAAGGGTTAAAGTATTTCCCTTTATTTAAGACAACAAAACCACAATTAATGCGATGAAGATCAACTTACGGGGTGGGGAAGAGGGTTTGCTGGAATCTTTCTTCTCCTCATCTTCTTTTTTCTCATCACTGCTCTCATCCGACTCTTTCACCTCCATCTTCACTTCCTCTTTTATTTCTTCCCCTTCTTTCTTAGGCTGTGTTGAAAGATCTTGTTCAGCAATCAGATCTGACACAAGCTTTAAAGCCTTCTCTGAGGAAGACACAATCTTCTGGACTGCCTGTAGCTCTTGCTCATTGGGATAAATTGCAGAATGTTTCGCCATCACTAGGCGGTCATCAGGAGTATCATACCTTGGACGTGGGATGGGCTGTTAATGGTGACAAAACAAATTAGTTATCAACTACACTGTACATGTGGTGAAGGCGATACAGTACAAAAAGGCATGAAATCTAATATATACAAGCTTGAAAGTGTTGCTCAAGGATATTCCTATAAAAATCCCCAAAATGAAAAGCTCTGAAAGTGACTGCCCCCATTCCCAGAGGAAATTCAATTTTTGTTTCAAACCTATCAATAGTACACAGAGATCTAACAAGAAGACTATCAATTAACCATTTCATTCTGCAGATTCAGAAATCAATTCTCCTTTCTGTCTGCCATAAATTTATAATAATTTCAACATTGAAGATTTGCTGATCAATCAAATGTAATAGAATAATTCAGAGCTTCCTGCTTGTTCAGTATAAAACAAAAATGCCTACCGGCCCCATGTCACCAACTCCTTCCATGAGAGGGCGTGGTCCCATTGGCCCTGGAGGACCTCTTGGGGGACCCATACGACTTGGACCCCATTCAAAGAATTCTGCTTCAAAACGGCGACGACTTTCTTCTTCCCAGAATCTTTCCTCTTCTACTCTTCTGTAATACTCCTCTTCCTCCCAACGGCGTAATTCTTCTTCATGTCTACCCCTGTGTGCCAGAAATGAATAAACAAACCAAGTTTGGTCAGAGCAAGGAACACTGCTTTATCCTAAATTTATCCAACACTGCTGATAAAAAAAATCAGGAAAACTGTTTGTACTTTTTCCATTGCCAGTATTGCTCTTGTTCCCACTGTCGACGAAACTTGTCTTCTTGCACTTTGCTGAGACGGCCACGGCCACCAGGTTTAACATCAACCACCAAATCAGGCTGAACTTTTTTCTGAAAAAAATAAATAAATAAACAGTGTTTATAAAAAGTTCAGAATACTGTAAAATTGGTATAAAAAAGACAAATTTTCTACAAAGCGCAAATCCACCTGTTTCACCAACCTTATAAGATAGCCTATGTCGGCGTCCTGCAAGATGCGCTTCTTTGGCGTTTGGATCATTGAACTTACACTCACACAATTTGCAGTGGAAGCTGATAACTTTCCCCTCATCATTTTTCACTTCCTCTAGATATTCTCCTCCTAAAATTGTATTGCACATGCACAAAAAGGTTAGCATGGTACAGTACAAGATTAAATAATGAATTAAATAATGGTTAATTAGCAGCAAACATACCAACAATCTTGCTCTTATCAACCCCTGTAAAATTTGCCAAGTCAAATTTCTCTGCAAGACAACAAAAGTTATCATTACAACAAAGTCAAATATTAGGTAATTTGGTATTCTCAACTGAGTTGATAATGTAAATTGGCCACTGTTAAGAGTTTCAGAGCCTTCGTCAGAGCAATTGATTCCCTCTGACAAAGGACTAACACTTGAAACGTCAGCTTTAAAAATTTTAACGACGGCCAATTTAAGTAATCAACTCAGTTGATTGTACCAAATTATCTTTTTATACTCTACCACCTACACAGCACCACAGTTTCTTTAGAAACTTACCTCCTTTATTCAAAGTCAAAAATATTTACATGTATTAAAGTGAGTACAAATTACACCTTAGGTTTCCATTGTTTAAAGGTGACAGCCTACTATTCATTTAGAAATACAAAGATCCAGATTTGAGTCTTTAACTACAGTTGTTACGCATCTATACAACAATCATTTGAAGAAATAAAACTTAACCAATCAGAAATCTAAAAATTCTTGAAAATCAATGTCAATGCATAGATTATGGAATTCTAAAAAACAACTCTTGGGTTATGACTGTTAGTTACATGTACCTGTTCCGATACTGAAATTGAATGTTTAATAAATTGACCAGGAAGAAAACAGTAGTACCAACCCTCTTCCATTTCAGCATCTTGTCCCACTGGTGTACCAGCAGTAGAGGTACCAGCAGAAACACCAGCATTTGTGGACCCAGCCTCACTCTTGACAAGTCCTGTGGAAGTTAGCTTTGTGCCACCAACAAAAGTGATCTTAGGAGCAGCCATCTTCTTTGGAGGCTGTTTTCGCATAGCTCCTTTGTTCCCATTGCCAGCTTTCTTGTCACTATTTTCTTTGGTCTCCTTGGGTTCTGGAGGTTTCAGTGGTGCAGGTTCAGGAATTGGTTTACCGAGCTTCTGATGTAGTTTCACAACCTGTAAAAGCACAAAATCAGAGTCTAGATACATTACCCAGGTGGTTACCCTTTCTTTACATTTGATTATACAATAAATCGCAATGCAATCCTATCACAGTTTCTGTTAACCCTTTAAAGCTTGGGAGTGAGCATCATCTAATTCCTTCTTACAGTATCACTGCTGAATCATTCTTTAAGATTGTGTGAGTAAAGGACATGACTGTCAAGGTTAAACAAATTCTCCTTGTCAGTACCAAAAGAGTATAGAGAATATGGATACTGATGTTAGGGTGTAAAGGGTTAACTGGATCACAAAATAAGAGAAATGTTGCATACATGTACGTTAAATCCACGGATCATTCCAATAAATCATGCCTAAATTGTAACAGTCCAAAAAGATATCACATTCAAAACTCAAATAATGAAACTAGCTATCTAAATTGCATGCAAGTGATTAAACTCATTCATATAGCAATGAGTGTGTGGCAGAGATGTGAAACAGATAAAAATCTCTTCAACACAGCCTGCTAGATATCCCAAATTTGTATTCTATTGTGCAATAATAAACAACTTTTACCTTCTGATGTTTTGAACCTTTAAGATGGGCGGCAAATGCATCAGTCCCTGTACAAGTGACATCACAAAGCTCACAACGATATGCATTAGATGGAAGGGATTCCTTTTCTTTTTGCTTGGCAGCTTGTTCCTTCTTCTTATGTTTCTGACCCTCTAAATGTTCTCTGTATGTCTGAAAGAAGTAATTTCAATCAATATTAAACAAACAGAATATCTAATTACTGCAGGCATTTCAAGTTTATAGACATATCTAATGCAAGTGCAGTACAACTACAGTCGTCGCCGAGACTTGCAAACTCAGGTGACACAAAAATAGCATTTGACACGCTTAATGCTTCACACGTGGCCACAACCAGCAAAGGTACATAAAGAACCGTGTTAAAAACTTTTGCTCATAACAAGTCTTGAGAACGAAAAAATAAATATAAGACTCAAAAGCGGTCGGAAAGTTGGTTTAGTGCGTATTCATAAGTTAAATAATACATGTTTTAAAGGTACATGTAAGCTTATATAAAAAAAAAATTTCATGTGCGATGTTGAAATATTTATTGATACTAACCTGTGGTCCAGCACAACTAATCTTGCAAACATCGCAGTAATGAAGTTGAGGTTGTTTCGGCGGTGGCTTAGGCTTCATCATCTGCTGTTTCTGTTGACCGGCTCCGATCTTATTTTTCCACCCTTGCCGTTGTGGTGTCTGTTGATGATGTTGTTGTTGAACGAAGGCCGCGGCGGCGTTATAGACAGCTGCCTCGTAAGCTTGAGGTTGGTAATTTGCAGCATTCCCAGTTGAGGAACCACCATAACTTGAAGTGTTGTACGAACTTGTTTGGCCGTAAGCGGTTGTCTGTGTACGAGCGTTAGAATACGGATAAGCCACAGTGGACGATTGAGATGAGTAAGCTTGGGTCGGATGAGTTTTCGCAATAACCGGAGTAGCGCTCACTGATGTCGGATAAACATTTGTTCCAGACGTTGGGTAAGCTGCTTTGGCTGCCCCAGTAGTGTTCTGAGCGTAATAAGCATTTTGTCCGCCCTGTACGTTCGTGGACGGCTGTTGCGAATAATAAGACGCCTTGGTTTCGTAGGCCTCGCGATCGTAGTATTGAGCTGAACCGTGATGTGCTTGGTAAGCGCCGTGAGCTGCCTGATAAGAGGCATTTGCCGGTGGCGGTGGTGGCGGAGCGTCCTGTTGTCTTGCCGTATAGCCATAAGCACCTCCTTGCGCGGAAGATCCTTGTTGAGCATAAGCAGTTGTGCCAGCTGAGTAAGGCGCTTGTACGACTTGTCTAGGTGCTTGATTTTGTGGGGGAACATAGTGCCCTCCAGCAGGAGCAGAAGCTTGAACTCCGTAACCAGTAGTTCCTTGGGGTGTTCCATAACTGGTTTGAATCGATGGATTCTGAGCTTGAGTAAAACCCTGCGTGTGTTGTCCTCCCGAAGAATAGCCGTAGTAATTGCTGGCGGCCATGTTGGATGACTCAAGGAGAAAGAGGCACGTGGTCAAGACGTCAAACCGGCAAAGCGCAAAAGGAGAGGCCTGGATAGCAATTATCTTGAAAACGAGGCTAATAAGTGCCGCGGCTCTTACGAAATTAAGTTTCTCGTAAGGCGGCGCCTTCTTGAAGGCGGCGCGTATCGTAAAATTGGACGCGACAAAGATAAGTTCTCTTTTGATTTAACGGCAGTTTCCCTATCCGCACATGAAATTTCATGGTAACTAACAGAGCCGTCTTTAAATTGAAGCCATTCGTCTCTTCCGAAATTATAAAGTACAGGATGAGTACCTCATGAGAGCTGCCCGCAGTACCTTAGTCATAGTGAAGCTACTCTTCCTTGAGACTTTTCACTCGAGTTTTATTACAGTTCGTGTTTACAACACCACTTGATGAATGCCATGTTTTTTCTAGAACGCTGAAGATTATTTACTTTGCTGTTCTGTATAATTGGCTTCTTCGAACCTAATACACTTTTGCTGAAATGTTGCCAATCTTGACAACCCTTACGTCGAAGAAGTTCTGGAGAAATATCCAAATACCATATGATAAATGGTAGATTTTCCACCTCATTTCTCATAATTTGAAAATTGACCCAGCCGCCATCTTTACATAAAGGCGATAGAATAAATTAGTATATACAAAACGGTCGATTTGGTTGAAGGCACGCTTTGATTGGCTACTCAAACTCCGTCTATCCTTTGCTATTCATCTCCGAGAAACTCACGGGTTTTATGCTCAAAAATATTGCAATCGTTGCAGGAATAAATGATTGAGATAAAATAACATTTTTGTGCTAAATTATCTCGCTATTTAGTGTATACGAAAACTATTATTTACCTCAGTGTCGGTATCCAACAGTGAATATTTACCTCTCTGCTTCGCGGCTTGGTAAATATCCACCACTAGCCACCCCAACTTCGGCGAATAGTTGTTAAATAAACAAGTTGACACAAATGCAATGATGAATCTTGGCGAATCTGTTATCGAAGTAATGTTAAAATCATTGCTTATCTACATTTATCAGAAGAGGGCTACTGCTTTGAATTCGTTCAACCTACTCGAGTAAAGTAATATAACAGCCTCTCATTTGACCACTTTGCTGTCACAAGCCGTCTAGCCATTGCTCTTCTTCAGTCCAATCAACCATTCGCCATCAGTAAGTGCAGGTTGTCTGCGTAGGCGTGGCTTTGATCCTCGCCGAAAATCTCAGAGGATTAAGATAAGTCTAGCATACTTCACAGATAACGATTTCTCAAATAAGTCTACTTCAAGGGCAAAAGTCAATTCTTGACCCTAAAAATCAAAAACAAGATTGGAATTATGTTTATTGAGCGATATACAAAGCGAGTAGTTTGGAAATTTGATTTAGTGATTGAAGATTACAGTCTTGTGCAACTTAAAAAGCACAGAAAAGCATCCGAATTTCTGAAAATTCGAGGCTAAATGCAAGGTTTGAACTACCAGTAACCATATGCAATTTTGGGCGTCTTATTTGATAAGAGTGGCTGAGTAGAAATCACATTACTGATAACAAGCGCCCTGTTTTTATTCTCAGTGAGTTAATTCTTTGGTTATCACGTTTCATACTTAAGCTCTTATCAGCAGCTGTTATCTTGCTTTATCCCACTACGTAAACATACAAACTATAATTGAATTAAGTATACTGTAAACTATATATTTCTTTTAACTTCTGATGTTCACGTGAATCATGACGTATCGACAGTATCGCTGTAAGAACCGCTATCCTGTTGGTCAGCGCCTCTAATCCAACACTTTTGAGTCAAGAGTCATTACGGCTGTGTCAGCGGTTGTTGACCAACCAACACGGAGCAGAACTGAATCTACGTTACTGATCCTGTTTATTCGTTGCGCTTAGCAAAAGGACCGCAATTCTTAGAACAAGGTTGTGAAGTTTTGAAAGGAAATACTCTTTCAGCTCCTCCGAGAACCGTGATAAAGGATCTCTCGCTCCGTTCAAATGGCATTCCCGAAAATTAGCGAATTTCCCCGTTTAGAGTCAAAAAATAAAACAGATGCCGATGTGAACTAATTTCACGCATGTTTGTGTTGAAACAGAATTTCATCTCAACATGTTATTTTCGTCTAAAAGCGAGATTTGCAGAGATGAATATTTTTCCATTAGGCAGAACAACCACTCGCGCTAATAGGCCATTTCCGAAATACTTTTGTCCTCTTTTTAAAAACAAGGCCTAGTGCTCAACCAATTGTATGTAAATGATTTAATTTGCATGTGAATGAAAAACTTACAATCGTTAAGAAGGATGATCACCAGGACTCGCTTTGAAGAAGAGGCCAAAGGTAATTCAGAAATGGCCAATTCAAGTGATAAAATTGATAAGAAGATTCTCATTTACGGCAGGACTTAATTTATTCCTCTAGTAAGCACGGAGAAAAGTGAACATAAAGCAGTCAAATTAAATTCAGTTGAAGAGAGTGTTCATCAAGAAAGTAGCTAACCGACTCGCCTTTACGCTATCTTGGTACTTTAGGTGTGTTTTTATTCTTCACTTTCAAACTCTCCAATTGTTTATTACGAATCAGAGAGCCTTGGATTTCCTTTACAAGTATCTAACCAAACTTAAGTTCTCTTTCACTTTGAATGCACATGATGCCACGAACCAAACAATTTCAGTTTGTATTGACGACTAGAATCGCTCAATTTCTTTTTGACAAAACGTTTTTTCTTGCTTTCCGACGCACTTTCGTCTGTTTGACTGTCCGTATCACTGCAACTGGACTGACGTAGATCGTTCAGATGCAGGAGAAGCGCAGAAGGATTCATCTTACACCTGCGCGCTCGCATTTCACGGATTACATCGTAAAAACAGACATCCACGCCATCGTATTCTGCAGCTGAAGCTTCGCCGAATAACCACCCGTATCTTTTGGCCAATGTCTGTCCTTCCCGCTTCGCAACTGTGCGATGTTCTTCCAGGTCAGTTTTGTTCCCGATGAGTACTATCGAAGCTGGGCCCTGAATAGTACAGTCACGTGATTCTTCAATCATTTCTTTGTACCGCGGGATTGTGATGTAACTCTTCCTGTCTGTCATGGAGTAGACAATGATGAAACCATCTCCCACGTGGAGAAAATTCTCCACAAGCTTCGATGGCGTGTTCTAGAAAAGCCAAAATGGAGGATACATTGACAACTTAAGTGCACGAATGATATAAAAAGTAAAACAATGCTAACTGTAAATTGAAAAACGAGAATTGAAGGAAGTAGTTAAAGTCTTTGGCAAACACGAACTGAGAAAGGTCGTTCATTTTCATAAAATTAACGGGATGAATACGGGGAAGGGAACCCTCAATTTGAGTAAATTTGGCAAGGCTTTTTCTTATGCCATTATTCAGTGCACAGTTTGTTAAAAGAATAAAAGAAAAAGCTTTGGAACAGGTTGGGCAGAATTGATTACTTACCCTGTAAGCTGTGTCTAGCACATCAATGGTGACTTCCTCGCCATCCACTGTTATTTTACGCTGATAACAATCCTCTGAAAAAAAAAAAGAAAGTTAATTACCACGACAAATTCAATAATTTACCTTCCATAAAATCACGCATCTCAAAATTCACACACCATAACATCGTGTGAACCCCGTGGCTGCACTGTTTTTTTTTCCCTCTATGAGTTCACCAAAGAGCGACTAGCATCTAATTCTCCAATCATATCGCCCCTGAATCAAACATTAAGGTCATGAGAATACAGGAAATGATCACCAACTAAAGAAGCTCTTGATCTTTCAACAAATTCTCCTTGTCATCACCTTAGGAAATGTCTAGAGAACTTTATGGAGAATATGCATACTGATATAAGGGTGTTAAGGGCTAAGGGTGTGACACCCTCCCTCAGAAAGGTTAAACAAACCACGGAGGCAACGGCAACAAGAAAGAAAAATATTATTTTATCTTTTAATCGACGTTTCCCCGGCGTTACCGTCCTGACTGCTTAAAGTCCCGGTAAAAGAAAGAGCGGCAAGAACGTCAGAGAAGGGTTCTAGGTGCGGGTTACTTTTTGTTTTATACCAAGTTCATCAAGTTCTTCCTAGAAACCCTTTTTTCGAGGAGGGCATATCCTAGCTCACGTCACAAGCTTCCATCAGAACACAGTAGCGGGGCAGGTCTTTATTTCTCACGTGGGGGTGGGGGACGGACGATTTTGGTTGTGTCACGATAAAGTTTTAAAACTTATTCCCCCATAAGACTCTGTGGTATTCTGATGATCTTCCCTCACTGGCAGTTAATTGACAGTCAATGTTCTATAGTTCTCCCTCCATACTCTTTTGTTGACAACTGATCCCCTCTCCGTTCCCCATGAACCATGAGATTCCCTAAAAACTCCTACGCCCCCCCCCCCCACTTCTTTTCGTTCCTAACAAAAACTACAGTGCCTCCTTAAGGAAATTTCGTTACTCGTTCCTCTTACCAATTGTAGGATCATATTCCCCAATAAATCGATGACACAGGAAACGTACCAACAGTGCTGCAAGAACAGAAAAAAAAACTTTGTCATTGATGTCCTCAGATAGTCTAGGAGTGTTCTCTGAGTAGTTCTGATGTGTACTTCAGCAAACCATGTTTAAACGAGAAAATTCGAAATTTCCTCCAGATTATAACACGCCTGGCGGCAGGTTGATTAGTAACATAATATGGAAAGAATTTATTCCCAACAGCCGTCATAGTGCTATTAGTAATACAGTAATGTGACTTCCTTGGCTGGCTAACCAAAACGCTTTTCAAAATAACAGCGACCCCAAGGAAACCCATGCTTGTTCGGCCACTTCAAATACTGACTATTCCGCCTTCCGATTAATAGGAAGCTTTCATAATGCCTTGCAGAGTTTTAACTGTAAATTGAAGGATATAATCATCATTGTCGTGTTGATTATGAAACAAGATATTTATGACGTCGGTTGAAAGATTTTCAAAATGCCTTCGTCGTCCCTGACCTTCCGGAAAATTCATCAGTTTTGTTTGATCATTAAGTGCAACTAGCGAGAATAAATACTAAAGCGGGGCAGAACAGGTTTACGAAAGCCCGTACGCCGAAAACCAAGACGAAAGTAAATTTAAAAAATATCGGTTCAACTATTTAAGGCGCTCTCCGAGGAGGAGTACAAAATGCTACCATACGGAGCCAATCTGCGATTTTCCTCACGTTTATCTCTATAAAAAGAAAAGTTCCATTTCGAAATTCCCAACAACGAACTCCGCCTATAGGTGTGTCTCATTTATCCTGTTTCATAGTGTCTGTGGGTTTTCTTATGTCCGCATTCAATCTAAACCACACAAGTATACTTCTCATAGTATCGATTTAAATTGTTTGCAGATAGGAACTAAAGACAGGTACAACAATTCTGAACAAGCGGCCATTCAAGAGGCCGAAACTTTGTAACAATTAATTCTAAACGATACTGGTAACGTCTGTACGATTCGATCAGTCCACGAACGCACTTGCCAATCAGTGCTCATGAAAGAAGGAGAAAAATTACCACAGTAGCGACGAGAGACTAGTAATTATTCCAAAACCGCTGAAATTGTGAGACAGAAAAGAAAAATAGTATACTTCAGAGAATCAGACTCAACTCTGTTATGAACTTGTAAACATGACTGATTCAAATTTCATCTGATTTTCCGCGATATCTGTTCGTGATCTTGCCAACAACTGTTGGTCCTTGTCGATCGATTGATGATGGGAAGAAGCTGTATCAGCGTCGAGCCAAATGTGTCACCAAAAGGTTGGCACATCAAGATTTGTTGAAGGAAGACAAAAAGCTTTCAAAGAGTGTTCCACACTTATCTGAGGTCAACAATCGCATGTTCAAAGAAGGGCGAGCACTGTTACGCGATTAATCACCGAAAACTGTCCAAGTTAACGAGAATGGTTTGGCTTTGAACATCGAAAACGTGACTAGCCACTCTTTCGATATGGCGTTTAATAAGGGAGAACCAAACACTTGATTCACCAGGCTAGCAAACACTAGTTGCTGAACAGCAGCTCGACTATTGCAACCAAGATCTCTCTTACCAAAACAGAACAGAAAAACTAATTCTTCGTGAACCTTCTAAAAATTAACTTAAACAAAACTTTCTCACTGACCTGTTTTACCGACTCCTTCGTTCCCAAGAACAGCAATTTTATAAACTCTCTCGGTCATGGTGTGCAACAGTGCTTTGTAGTGAAATATTACGAGACGCAGAGCTTGAAAGCGGTGTACTTCGTTCAGCTCAGGAGTTCCGCTCGACAGGCAAATAGTGTAATTCAATAAACAATAACCTCTTCTCGTGACTTTTTCTAATGAAGCTTTCTTCGTGCAACTGCTGTTGAAAGAGGTGACGCGGGTTAGCACTTTCTATACTTTTCCCTTGCTGCACGTATCACGTCAAATATATAGGACACACCACAGTAATCACAAGAAGGCAAACGAACTTTTAACATCAAAAGCGGTTTATGGAGAGAGATAAACATGATAAATAAGATAGCGAAATTCCCTGAACAATGAAGATGACGGATTTATCGAGTTACATGTCAGTTTATCAAGTACTTTAAAGCTATACGATCATCTGTTACTGGTTATAATTATTTTGGGATTTGCAGTTTCCGAATCCGGATTCCCACCTCTTTCCTACATCCAGCATGACTAACTGAAAAATACCAATATCTCTACGGATGGGAAAAAAAAAGAAACGTTGTAATCCAATCTACAGACCACTATAATAACATGAAACAAAAGTTTGAGGTCGTAATGACGGGATGGAAATTGCAAGAATGCAATTAATTCGCGGAAGGTATTAGGGGTACTGTCGAAAGAAGACACGCACATTTTAATTATCCGCCAGTTCGACCGACATTGGCCACTTGGTCAGACTCAAAGCGGTTCCCTCTGTTCCTTTTTCGATTGAGAGATAACACCGAGGTGCTCTAATAGAGTAAAGAGCCAAACTTGTACAGTGTTCTCCTCAAACACCGGCGGCCGGCATGTTTTGCTAGCTTCTCTTTTCTCAAGCTTTAAAGCGCTTGCCATTTTTATAAGACATGAATTTAAGTATATCTGTCTTCGTCTAACATAAATTAAACCCTTTCCTAAGGACAGTTTTTCTAAGGACTTCTTTTGAAAAAGCTCTGCCAAAAATACTGGCATACCTATGACACATATTTGGCTTGTAACAAAATCTGCCAGAGTCGACATTTTAGCTAACGGTTGCTCTAAAAAAGTGGTTCTTTTAAATGAGTTTCCCAGCTGACCTCCGCACACATTAGGACGTTAAATATTTCAATAACTGTTGAGGGATGATGAAGTTATTGGAAATAAAGGCGATTACAAAAAAGGACGAAATTAAAGTGATTAAGTTCCATAACAACTTGGATCCAAGCGCGTTTCGAGGGCAAATTACCTGAGAAAATTAAGTTTACCAGCTGATTTAAGCACATATTGACATTTAAAATAGTCAATTAACTGTTGACAGATTATGAAGTGATTGGAAATACAGACAGTTACAAAAATGGAACAAAAATTAAAGTTATCAAGTTCCAAAACAACTTGGATCCAAACACGTATCAGGGGCATTACCAGAGAATATTGAGTTTACCAGCTGATTTCAGCACAGATTGGCATCTACAGTTGTCAACTTACAATTGATAGATAATTAAGTCATTGGAGATATAGGCAATTAAAAAAAAAAAAAATTAAAGTTACAAACTCTAATACTATTTGAATCCAAGCACGTTTTCGACGGCATACCACCCAAGAGAAATTGAGTTTACCAGCTGATTTCAGCACAGATTGGCACGTACAATAGCCAATTAACTGTTGGTAGATTATAAAGTAATTGGAAATATTGGCAACTGCAGTAACAAAAATGAAAGTAATTAAGTTCCATAGCAACTTAGATTCAAGCATGTTTTCGTACATGGAAATCACCAGATAGCAATCGAGTTTAAAAGTTGATTTCAACACATATTAACAAATTAAATAGTCAATTGACAGCACGTTGATAGATGATGAGTCATTGGAGATAGAGGCAATTTTTATGAAGTAATAAGTTACAATACTTCTTGGATCCAGGCACGTTTTCGTGGGCAAGTCACCAGAAGGAAATTGAGTTTAACATCTGATTTCACCACAGACTGGCATACAAAATTATCAATTAACTGCTGTTAGGTGATGAAGTCATTGAAAATAGAGGCAACTACAAAAAATAACTAAACTTAAATTAATCAATTATTTCCAATACTACTTGTATCGGAGCACGACTTAGGAGGCTAATCAGTTGGAAAAAAAATTAGTTCCTCAGCTGATTTGAGCACATATTGGCATTCACAATATTCATCTAACACTTGATGGATAGTGAATTCATTGCATACGTTGGCGATTGAAAAAAAAAAAAAAAAAAAAAAAAAAGAAAAGAAAAGAAAAGAAAAGAAATTAAGTTCCATTTCTAATTGGGTCCAAGCACGTTTAGAGGGTAATTCACAGAAATGAAATTTTCACCCCTCGTGATAGATCAACTTTGAGGCAAATTAGAACGCCGTTCGATTGATCGTCTCTATAACACATCCAAAATAATCACTTAGTCGAACTAAAATGAAGGTATTTATCAAAAGGAGCCAATCTGAGTAAAGCAAAGGCAAAGACGCGCAGGAACAAAAAGCGTGACATGATTGGTTTTATTTTCACATCTTATTGGTGGATTCTCAGTTAGCCCAGGAAAAGTCTAGGAAGAAAACTCCCATCAAAGATGGATCTTGAGGATCTAATAGTTTCAACACCAAAACGTAAATCGATCGTCACGGTCTTAATAGAGAGGGTTCATGTCCAGTGAACAATCTAAATTCCGGAAATTGTACCAGCCAGGGACTATACACGATTCTTAAGTAAGCAGTGTTTGCTATCTAGTCAAAAGCAAAATATGTTAAACAAGCCATACTAACGTTTTCTATCGTCTTACAAGTTCATAGCACGATAAAAATTTTAACCATACATTCGCGAGAGAGGTGGACAGATTATTGTTTTATACAAACGCAGCCATGGAGTTGAATTTGGGGGCAACTGAGAACGAAACTATTCAGCATTCCTGTGGAACCCTTTGATTTTTATTATAAGGGGATCCGTTCCAGTTTTTCCCAATTGCAAGAGTGAAGGAATGAAGGAACGAAAGAAGTAAGTAACGAAGGAACGAAGGAACGTCATGAAGGAATGGAGAAACGAAGGAACGTCATGAAGGAATGGAGGAACGAAGGAACGTCATGAAGGAATGGAGGAACGAAGGAACGTCATGAAGGAACGGAGGAACGAAGGAACGTCATGAAGGAACGGAGGAATGAAGGAACGTCACAAGGAATGAAGGAACGAAAGAACAAAGAAGAAACAGAGGAACCAGAAGAGAACATGTACAAGTAACAAGTTAACTTGCTAACTATAGTGATCAACTAATAATAAGAACTTACCCTTAAATCATCAAAAAGTTTTCCGTGATTACACAACTCTCTTTAGTTTGAGGATTGTATAATTGATTCTTTCTGAGGGTTTTTGCCCTTCTTTGTTTCTGTATTTTCTTCAAGGATGCCGTTATCAGTGAGCTTCAGGATGTCATAGATGTCCAACGCTTCTCCTGTGAGGGAAATAAAATAATTCTAATAATAAATAATTTAACAACGAGAAAATCAAGAGTCCATATACTTTTTGGATTATGCTTCCTTTGTAGCTTTTCCTCAGTTATCATTTTCGCTTCTCTTAAAACTTTCATTTTTTAAAGGAACAGTGTCAAGGTGACGCATGCGCTGTGGTATGTCGAATATTTTGAAAAAGTTGGCAAACTTTTTCAAATTTCGTCTTTAGGAAGAGTTGCCGAGTTCTATCGTTCTCTATCTTTGCCATCCGTGGATAATTCTTTTCAAAACCACAATATTTTCTTAAATCAGAACATATAGCGTGTTTTTGTCCTCCCAGTTCTTCAATAATTTGCTGAGCGAGAATACGTTTAGAGCTTTGTTCATGAGTGTTATCCTTGGATATTACCGTCAATGCCCTAGAGGCGGCTAAGGCGAGTATGGATATCGGAAATCCAAATATCCAACAAGCCTCCGTTAAAAGCGAAAAAAAAAAATTGTAAAGACTACTTCACTGATATTAACGTACTCCTAAACAGCTGTATAAGATAAAATTATCGCTGCGTGCCTTTTTTAAAAGGAAAAATAAAAACCTCGTAAAGAGCACTTCCTAGATATTAACCTACTCCAAAACAGCTGTGTAAGATAAAATTATCGCTGCGTGCCTTTGTTGAAAGCGAAAAAAAACCTTGTAAAGAGCGCTTCCTAGATATTAACGTGCTCCAAAACAGTTGTGTAAGATAAAATTATCGCTGCGTACCTTTGTTTGGAGCAAACATAAAAACCTTGTGAAGAGCGCCTCCTAGATATTAATCTGCTCCAAAACAGCTGTGTAAGATAAAATTATCGCTGCGTGCCTTTGTTGAAAGCGAAAAAAAACAATGGACAGGCCTGAGGCTGAAGAAAAGCGCTTCTCTAGTACATCGAAAGAAGCAATCGAAAAACTTTTAAAGGAGGACTCCAAAAGTACGGTTCTTCAGAAGTACATCTGCTCTGCAGTGTTTAAAGAATAAAAATGTGCTGTTAAAAGTGATCATTTTGCTTGTTTACTATGTTCGTCCTCTAGATGTAGAACAAAGCACTTAAAACACTTCATAAATCGCTTAGTTTTGAATATTTTTTAACTTAGCGGCCTGTTTGTGGCTACTCGCATAAGCTGCGCGTAAATTGACTGACAGGACGAAAAAATTATTGATAGGTTCATCTGGATGCGGATTGGTTGGTTCATCTTACGCAAAGCCGTTAAAAAGAACTGCTGTCTTTTAGAAGTGGTTCAGTTCCCACTGTGGAAAGCTGTTGAACTACGCCCCAAGATCTCTTTCTACTTAAAAACAACCTTAAACTGAATTTCGACCATGAAGAATCTCGCCAAAAGCATTGCTGTATTTTGTGCATTCTTCTGTGCGGGTAAGTTAATCAGTTCAAGGTTTTGTGTAATAGACTCTTCTTAAGATGCACACAGTTGTAACATACGAGACATCGGGGTTGAATTCCGGGTGATAAACTTATCATGTTGGTGACAACAATTTCAGTATTTGCAATTCATCTTCATTCTCGGCCCCACCATTAACTAAATCCTACCAATTCACGATATCCTCGCTCTGCAGTTGTCTATCTTTTACGTAGCTACTGAGGCATAACTTTCAGGCTTTTTTCTTTTGAAATAAATCGAATATCATCAAAAATCTTGCAACTGGAAAATTATGTGGTAGATTTATTTGTCCGTTTTTTTTTTCTTTTTTCGTGATTTGAGAGAAAACAATTTTGCGGTTTGAGATGACTTAGGAGGCCATGAAATTACTGGTGGGAGCTTGTGTTTATGATTTTTCTATTGTTTTCAAATTCTCCCAATTTTCGAGCTACTTAAATGGAAGGTACACAATTCATCATTTGTAAATGAATTATTTGCAAATGCGACGAACACGTATTTTCACGCGAAGCTTTTCATTTGGCTAGTAATTCCTTTTTAATAAATCTGCTTCTCTTTTTCTGCGAGACCTTATTTTTTTGGATCGAGGACGATCTGAAAAAATTAAAAACCGTCAAGATTTCAGGCCACAAGGTATCCCAAATGACATCTTTTATTGTTCATCATTTATTTTTATTTTTTTACGGCTTAATCCTTCAGCTCAGGGCTTGGAAACTAGGCAGACTTGACGTGATAACTGCAATGTCCGCTGCAGATATTGGGTTATCATGTCAAGTTATGTCAACTTAACAAGCTAGTGTATATTGATTGAGTGCTCGCGAACAGTCAGATTTTTCTTAGTAAGTCTAATGTATAGTGATCATTTTTAACTGCAGCTCATTCGCTGCAGTGCTACGTGTGTACCCCAACCGATGAATCTTACAGCGTTGAACAATGCGAAAAAGACCAAAAGAAAGTGAACTGCAGCAATATTCCTGGTGTGGTCTCGGACTTCTGTTTAAAAACTTCCGTAGAAGACGAAGATGGCAGGAAGTCTCAACAGAAAGCATGCGTGTCCAAAGCCGAATGCGAGCAGATCAAGGCTAATTGTGACAACGCAGGCAAGACGGAAGAATCCAAAGTCAAGAAATGTTCAGTATCCTGCTGTTCCAGTGATCTGTGCAACAACGCCTTCTCGGTTTCCATCAACATCAACATGATGTTTATTGTTACAGCAGCGCTGTGTAGTTTCAAGTTATTCTAAGCACAAACAATGCTAAACTGCTCACTATCGTAGGCACATCACGCTTTTAATGAAGTTTATCGCCAGTGCTGCTAGAGACAAACCTCCAGTTATTACTGACTAGTAATAAATTGAGTCATTTCTGGATTAGCAATAACGATTGTTGATGAAGTTCAATTCTTATTATGGTATGCATCCATAAAGGATTATTGATCCATGCTATTTTTTGTAATCTGCTGAATAAATCAGATAATAAACAAGCTGTAGTCCCTCGGCTTACACCTCGGACTTTTCCTTTTTGATGAAAGGCTTCCTTAAATGAATCCTTTGATTCTATAATCGCGTGTAAGTGTAATTTTACCACTTCCACCTTTCGAGAACTAAAAAATACCTGAACTGCAATGTTAGCAATAGTAGCTGATTTACACGGAAAGTCAGGAGTGACACGAATCTGAAATTTTCCCAAATTATCAGCTTAATATCTTAAGACCTGTTTACATGGAGGTGGGGACCCCAAGTAGGTGAGGTAACCCGCCTGTTCATATAATCTCTTATTTTATCTTGATCACGTTTACGTGATAGGTGAGGTGACCCGCCTAAGCGGGACTCATGTTTCGCGCCAAAAGAGATCATTATGTTGCAATTGCGAGTAGGAATAAGTAAGTTGGTAAAAACCTCACAAAAAGCGATAGCATTTGTAGCTGACATTGAATTTTTCGACGCATTACTTCGACAAAGAGTGCTAATACAAGTAGACCACATCAAATCCAAACCAGATCCTTTCTACCTTATTGTGCGTGACTGGTGCGAGGCCTGGGTAAACACTGATAATATATCCATATCATGTTTAGTTTAAGTGTGACCTGGAGCACGTCAGCGCATGACTCACGGCAGGAAGGACTGGGTGCCAGTGACGTCAATTCTCCTTCGGGGGGTCCCCGTGGGGTGCACCTCTAACGTAATAGTAATCCATTTGTGTATGTTTTCAGATCATTGTGCTCACCCTAAAGGTCGTTTTAATTTTCTAACGAACGCAACTGTTCTGCTAAGTGAAGAAAGAAAAGAAAACGGAAGAAAACAGAGTTTGGAAGAAATAGCTTCTCATACAGAGGGACTGTGGTATGGAATTCACTGGACAGAACGACAAGGAACTTAGAAAAGCAAGATGCTTTGAAAGCAGCACTGAACCGTAACAAAACTTGCCTCGGCAAAATCACTTTTAACAAAGGGGACCTCAACAATTCTTAATAAGGACATTAATTTTTTGTATTATTAAATGTAAATATTAACACCCCTTAAAATTTTGAATCGATCTATAATTAGTTGGTTATTTTCCTTTATTGTAAATAGGTTTCTTCATGTTATTGTAAATAGTATTGTTAATGCTCTGTAAGTTTTAAAATAGTAGATTTTAGTATTTCCTAGGTAGGTCCACATCAGCTGTAAAAGTTGCCACTAAATAAACTATGTATGTATGTATGTATTTATGTGATCAATTCAATCCCATATTTATTTCCCTTTTAGTACATAGTTAATCAGATAGCACAATAATCACTATGAAAATTCATATTCTAAGCAAATAAATTTAACAAAAGAAACTAGAAGTCCTGCTGAGTTTGTATTAGTATTTTCATTATAAAATGAAACAAAAGTGTATCAACACTTTTCTTCGGTAGCAGACATGGCATTTAGATAATTCCAAATATTTGCTGACAAATGTTCTCTTCGCACGTCTTGTTCGCAATTAAGAACGCTTGAAAGCAGTTTGAGGGGCGTTTAACGACAGATTATAACGAACAGAGCAACATCAGTTTAAAAATTGTGTTAACTTATCCGGAAGTTGACTTTTTCCTCATCGTACTTTGGTTAAAATTTGTCTATATATTCATAAATACAAATTTAAAGAATCAAATTTTGCAAGACATTGTTTAATTGGCGTACACGTCGCTCTTTAAGCCGGACTATTAAGTTCCCTTTCGCTCTTCACTAGCAGACAACCCATACTCAGCCGGTTAACTGCCTCCAATCGTTGCGGTGAAAATTTCTATATTGCGCAAAACCTTTCATAGTGGAACTTTGGACAACCGGAACCAGGAGTCTGTATCAGAAAACTGCGCGAAGGGAACTGGGACAAAAACATTTCATGGTTTTTGGAGAAAAAATATTTTCTCTGATTTCCTAATAAAGGGTCTTTAAGAGACTAGACAAGTAATAAAACCTTATTTCAGTACGTTGCCTGAAAAAGGCTTTTTTAGTAGGTATTTAAGAGATTTTAGAATTTTCGTTACAAACCTGGCGGTATTCCTTGCCCCTTATGAAGTCCAAGCGGGTTGGATGGAGTTTTGCAGTCAAGGGAAACTTCCTTTCGCAGCACAGTGTCAATATCAACAGCACTGAAGAACGCCACAGACTGTAAAAGACGCATAGACAAGTACACGTTATCAAGGTTTATTGCAAGAAAACCTCACTAAAAAAGGACAATAAAACTAAAAACCAGCCCAGGAAAGGAAATACGTCATCTAGGGAAGCATTAACGTCAACTTCAAGGACTGGAGGGAGGGGTGGGGACTTTGATAGCAACTTTAACTTTCATTCCAGCACGTGTGAGAAATATAATTTTAAGTTCGAGATCATTCTCGACATTCCACACAAAGACGTCATAAGGTTTCAAAACCCCTAAAGCCCTTGCGTGAGAAGCTGAGACGCAAGTTTGATGCAAGAAACAGCAGTGATGCCAGTGATGCCAGTAATACCAGAAATACTACAATTCGCCCCAACACCTCCCAACATAAAGTTTCGTAGCTCAGTAGGCACCAGCGCTCAAGTAGTGTCTGAGGGGCTCGTGGTCAATTTTTATTGAGGCTTAAATTTGTTTCAGACCTCTTTTCCTGTAGTGACTTTAAACGCAGTTGTTCCGTGAAATAGACTTATGCCAAAGTTGATCCCGTTTTTCATGCCCATAAATCAACGCAATAGCCCTATCTGGTTACACAGATATCGATGAAATACTGGTATTTATTTCCAGTTTCCAAGATATGATACCTTAACTTCGCAAAGTGAGGATATCATTGTTGTCTTTCACAGGAGCAGATATATATAAATGTTGTGCCCTAAAGATTAGCTCCCCGATGTCATCTATTATACTACGTTTTTTTTTTCCAATTTACTGATAGTATCGTTTGATAAAACAATAAACACAAACAAAACAAAACAAAAAAAAACAGGCAAAAGAACACTAGTAAGCTTTCTTAAGATACAACATTTGTGTATGGGATACCTGTGGTAAGTCGTTCATTCCCAGTTTATGAGCGAACATCGCTCTGGTCAGTAGATTTGTAATTTGTAGTGCCAGGGCTGCGCGGTACTTGTCTTTGCTTGACACCAGATAACGAACCTGTTGAGATTTGACCACGATATTATCACTTGACAAAAACAGATACAGAATCAGGATTGAAAACTGATTTTCAACTGACTGCAATAGAACGAGGGAAACGATAAGTGTCTTTCTGTTTTGAACACGACTTCTCTTTTGTACCGAAAATAAAAGGACGGGCCGTGACAGGCGTTGAAGTTCAAAACAAATATCTACTCAGTCTCAACTATATCCCAGTGAGTAACGTTGAAGTAAAATCCTGAAAGCCTGAGCAAATTAGGACTTGATGTCCAAACTACCATTAAAATTGCGATTTCAGTCTTTAAATTATAATTTAATATATAATGAGTCGGAAGGGAGTAATTTAACTTGGAAGGGGAAACAGCAACCTCCAAATTTTAACAAAAATTTTCTTTTTCAAGATTGTGGTTCACACGTACGGTTTTGAAACGCACGTTAAAACACGCTGAATCGTAAGTCGAAAAGATGCCAAAATAATTCGCCTACCTCGTCATGTATGCTGATACAAAATCTCCCATCAATATTGTACTTTGTGAAGAGCCACTTCATGCAAACTAGCATAAGGTGTAGATAGTCTACGGCTGAACTTTGAACAACCCAGTTAACACGACTGGTCATGAACTAATAAAGGCAAGCAGAGAAACAACTGTATAAAATGACATAGAGATCTCTTCAAAATAGTTGACTATAAAGGATTAAAAGGACCAATATCTGCAATTTGTCCTTCTGTAGTCTGTCTGTCTGTACCTCCGTCCGCCCGTTCGTACATTTTTTGTCTGTGTTTGTTTATTTTTTGCCTGCCAAGCATGAAAACATGAGAGAACCACCTATGTTTCCGTCTCATAGCTTGCATTCTAAACTACAATGTTATGGAAAAAAGTGAAGTTGAACGCCCATAGCCTTGTGTCGTTAAGTTGTAAACTTTATAATCGTCACCCTCATCGAAGCGCTGCATCTATTTGTGGAAAAAAAAAATTTCTCGGTGCGTCGGCGCTGATCCCTGCGTTAAGTGAATAAGGGTGTTTCTCCTTGTTACAATACTCTACCTCTGTGCCAACAGCAGAAGGCTCCAGTGATTTGCTGATCCTGCAGTCCAGCACAGGAGTCCTGGGCTCCACCGATTGCGCAATGCTTTCCAGCATATTAAACATCTCGGACTCGCTGCAAACAACGAAACAACGTGGGCTGTAAACGAGCAGTACAATGATGAGTTGGTAATTGGGTTCATGATCGCACTTCAAGTCATGAGAACGTTCTGCACTAATGCTAATCACTCCTAACAGATACTGGACACACCAGAATCCCTATCAAATAACTTAATGGCCCCTGTATGAAGTAAACATTTTGCAGCTTAAAGGACACGAAACCAACCTTTGAACTCGAACCGAAAGGCTGACCCTGCATAGGCTTATCTCGTTTTCTGCAACTAAAAATTTTGTTACTCTTGTCTCATTTTCCTACGCGCATGAACCCAATGCCAGGCTACCGCGTATCCTTTATACAACAGGATACAAATACCACCAAGTGTGAGAGTCGGATATCATTACATGATCAATTTACCCTAATTAAGCTTGGTTTTGGTCCTAATCTACTCAGTTATAAAGCGCCAAGTCAAAAAATCAGAGGGTTTCCATAACTTTTACTATAAGCAGCTGCCGATGGTGTTGTTAGCGGCTCTGCCCAACCGGAAAAGGCCTTAGGACGAAACCCACACACGAGACGGCTGTAAGAGGTCAGAGGTAGAACGCCAGTATTCGGCTTTTAGTGAAACCCTCGATAGAATACTATAACTTCTGAAAGGACAACGGCAATCCAGCTATCCGTTAAAAGTAAGTGTTTCCCTTCTTTTCTTCCCCTTGGAACACAAACAAGAAAAGTTGAAGAATCGACAAAGACGGGTTCTTGAAAAAATGTGTTCATAAAAGATCGTCATAGAAGCATTCATACACTTGATTCTTAATGATAATAGCATACCTTCCTCCACACCATCTTCGGCCATCGTCAATGCTATTTTCAGTTGTACTAAAAGTGAAACAAACCTTACTTCAATCAACGTCCACAATACACAACAGTTAACTCTCTACACCCTAACATCAGTATGCATATTCTCCATACTGTTCTCTATACGCTTCCTTTGGTACTGACAAGGAGACTCTGTTAAACAATCAAGGGCTTCTTTAGTTGGTGATCATTTCCTTTATTCTCATGACCTTAATGTGTGATTCAGGGGTGATATTGTAAGGAGAGATTAGATGCCAGTCATTCTTAGGGGTTAGAGGTTAAAAGCTAATTCAAGGCATGTTAAATATCTCACCGTCGCCTTCGTGCAGTTTTCCTGAGCAGCTGATAATAAACTTTGGCCACAACGCAACCATTTTCATCAACGTCCTCGCCGAAGCCAAATCTTTGCGCCATATCTTTCCCGAAATCCGTGAGAAGAAACCTACAGAATACAAAGAAGTCACAGTCGAATTACAAAAATCAGTCTGAAAATAGTGATAACTGAACCAAAGTCTTTATCATTGAACGGCATTTGCAGACAGAAAGGCAATACACTTTGATTACCAAGATAAAAGTCGTTACTCTTCTTTAACGTCAGCCATGAAAAATTAAATAGCAGAGAATTTTGTTTTAAATAACCTTCATCCTCTAAGTCATTTCCTATTTTAATCTCTAAAAGACGATGCTCTAGTAGATGCTTTTACTCGCAAGAAATCGAACCCAAGTTGGATCAACGTCAGTATCTGAGCAACTGCATACCAACCCCTCCCCTAACCCAACATTAACCCTAACTTGTTATCAGATAACTGTTTTTGGGTTAGGGGAGGGGTAGGTACGCAGATGTTAGTATACTGACATTGATCCCCCAAGTTTAAATTTTTCCACCGGATTAGCGATAAATACTATCTTAACCACCGACCCTTGTGAATACTGGACGAAAATTCAGTCTTAGGCCATCATCTGACCAAGCAGTCATGATACCCTCATCCTAAAAACTATATTGTGCTTTCTTACTTAGCTACTCCCTTAGTGTTAGAAAACAGCGTCTCAGCTTTTTGCTTTGCTTCACTCTCCGTCAGACGATGGTTGAACTGTAGAAGCAGCTTCTCTGCGTATTTCTGTCCTGCTCCATAAATACGACCATAGTTAAAGACCTAGATCAAAAGAAGAAAATATATCAATCAAATTCAAATCACCAGACAATCCTTCTTCTGCAAAAAGCTGGTTGGTTGTTGAAACAACACAGTCCATGAATTCAAACCATGCGTACGGAAAGGCCATATGAATAAAGAGGGCAAGTTTCTAAATAATCTGTGGTGCTGTATCATTGGGGGTATTACAAGATGAATTACTTTTATCGACTGAGTTGATAATGAAAATTTTCAACCGTAAAGATTTTGTAAAGTTGACGTTTCCAACGTTAGCTCTTCGTCGAGCGATTGTTCAAGTTTGGTGTGGAACACATCGAACGCTCGAAGCAAAGGGAGTATGATCAATCAATTTTAAAGCTATTCATTAAATTTACATTTTTTTAAAATAATTCTTAATCAGATAACTAAGCATCTGCTGGAAAAGTAAGGAAAGTCGCCGACGAAATAAATGCTAATATCTAAATCCCTTCCAGACCGGCTACTTAACTAACCGATCGTTTACATCGCCACTTCAGAGGATAAAAATGTCACTCTGCGGCAACACTCGCCTCTCACCAATGTGACGCGGGTTCGATTCCCAAACCTAGTGGTGTTAGACTGGAATAAGATTTGTTTCTTGTTCTCGTCTCTGCTGGGAGGATTCTCAGTTTACCCCCCATCGCAGTTACCATCCTTTTAAATTGTCATATGACCTCGAGACAGGGGGCGAAGACCCACTGCGTAGATGTACCATCGATAAATTCTGTGAATCGTCGAATGGATCGATGGATGGACGGATTAATTCATTTACACCCCAACATCAGTATGTATATTCTCCATACTGTTCTCCATACATTACCTAAGGTGCTGACAATGAGAATTTGTTTAACAACAAAGAGCTCCTTTACTTGGTGATAATTTATTCAGTCCTCTCACTTTAATTTGTGATGTCGGGATGATATCGTGAGGAAAAATTAGATGCTAGTCACTATTTGAGGTCATGTTAAACATGACTGCATTCTTACCTTAGCATGGTCCCGACTTATACCAATAGTCTCCGCGGTCTTACTATGGAGGTCAGTACCTTCTGATTTCTTACCCTGAAGGGTCATCCACCCAAACGCTGTGCTGCCTGCGTGATAAGCATAGTGAAAGACAAAGTTGTATTAGCCGGACACAAACAGAACTCCCGCGAATGTCTGCTGGATACAAGTTAAGTTTATGTGTAACATTATTTATTTGCTTCATCCCCAACTCTCTCTCTCTTAACCCTTCCACTTCCAGATCACATGAGTAATTCTCCTTTATGTCAGCCATATAATTCTTATGATGTTTACTCGGAGAATTTGGTATTCGATCAACAAATAATTCCGTAATTGATATTTTTCTTTATTCTCATCACTTTTCTTCTTGTTATTGTATTGATATTGTAAGGAGAAAGTTTGTGTTGGTCACTCATGGAAATTAATGGGTTTTAAGTGGTCACTCTTTATTCATTTCAGAGTGGTACACCGTGCACTGATGCTATTGAAGCCATAAAAATATAACATACATTTTTACCATCAATGCAATTCGTTTGTGGCAGCCATTTTAAATCATTTATATAGCAGGCTGTGACGAGGCCAGATTTTTTTCTTAAGTTTACAAACATCCCAGCCATCCCAGACCCCCAAAAACCTCGGTTCCATAGCTAACACACATCTCGTGTTAGAAATGGCTGCCAAAGAATAAAACTGCTTTCTTAGAAAAGCGTCATTTAATGTCCAAGTGTTCCTTTTTTAAGTAACGATACTCTGATGTAACGTAGACTAAAACATGAGTAACCTGCGTACGGCTACCCACTTTTCCGAGTCTCTGGAGGAACAGGCTTCTGAAACCAGGTTACTTTGTTGCCCGTAACTGCAAAAACTAACCATGAATCCCAGCAAAATGCGCATCCCCTAAAATGGCAGCAATCCAGAGCTCCTGACTGTCTACATCAGCCCCTACTAAACAGTAGCCTGGAGGAGCCCGTACCATAGCCTTCAGTTCAGAACCAACACGATCCTCCTAGAAGAGACAAAGCCGCAAGTAACGTTCAAGATACTTGCAGCTCCACTACCAAAGCTTGTAAAAAAAATAATTAAAATTAAATTTACAATTTGTATAGCGCTCATTGCAAGCCTCTAAGCGCTTTGAATGTGAAGGAGAGAGAAACAAACAATTCAAATAAACGTAATTGAAAGTGCTTGAAAATCTCAACTGGCAGGAGGCAGACTAGTTGGCTACACAGCGCAGCCGTAAAGTTGAACTTGGGAAAACCGAGAACAAATCCAGTGAGTAGCTGGATGGAGGACTTAACCTGGGACCACCAGATTACAAATCCAGCACCCTTACCTCTCAGCCTCACCGCCTCCCTAATACACAAAACTACCACCAAATCGCGACTGACTTGCAAGTGCTTTGCCCCATTTCCAACAGTTCGCCTAGTTTTGCTTGATTCTTCACTGATTGGCTCCTTGTGATCTTTCGACATATGCTTTTGACCCGTTGGCCTTTTGCTTATTTTGGTGTTTGTTTAATCGAAAAGCGCTCTAATACAAATGCAGCAACACTGTTTTTACCCTAGGATTCGTGGCCGTCATCCAAGTTGGTTCCACGGCTCTCCTTGTTACTGTCCCAGCTGTGATGACTCGAGGCAAGATGGCACCGTACATCTCATCAGCACTGTACTTTTCAGATCTGCAATCCGTTGAAACAAATTCACGACATTTTATACAGGACTTAAAAGATGGGGGAAACTGTCAATATATTGACTTTTTACCTTGTAATTTCCGGGGGTAAGTCCGTTCTATCAAACCAAACAGCCAACTGTGATCTACGGAGCGAAAAAAGCGAGAAAATCTTGTCATCAGTAATGAAGACAGAGTGATTTTTGCTTTCGCTTCCGCTCGCCTGAAAAATGCCAAACATGCAAGGAAAGAAAAGAAAAAAAATAACGCCTGTTCTAAAGGCTTTCCATTAAACCTCGCATTATTGCTCAAAATCTATCCACTTTTCAATTATTTGTCAACCTCTAAATAACTATCCGCACCTGACTCTTTTTTGTGCATTTCTCCAAGAGGAAATCATCTTGTTAATGACGAGCGTCTTGTGAGCACTGTGATCTCCTGAGGAAGACACCAGTGTACCATCCTCCATCTTGCTGATATAGTCTTTGGCTAGCGGGTTACCACAGCGATAATTCTCACCATTCTGAAAGAAACAAAAACTCACAGAAGTGATTAACATGCAACATCTCCCTATAACATCCATATCTCATTCAGCAGATAGGTAACGAGAATACTCAAACAGTATCAGGTTTCTCAGTTTTTCTACAAATTCTCGTAATTTATTCACAAGCACATTTGAAGCAGCTGGTGGGGAGAATTAACATCAGTTATGGGGAGATATAGGGAAAACACTTCATCCTACAGGCCTGTTACTGAACAGAAACTGGGAACGTTCCTGGAGTTGTTTTTTACAACAGTAGGTACGTGAGACTCAAATCAACTCAGAAACTTAGCCACGAAAACGTATATAAATGTTACGATGACAAGATCAGCACTGACCCAGAAGACTTCAAAAAAATGTTCACGTCATGCTCGGGGGGGGGGGGGGAGACGAGTATAAGGAGTACAAGTAGAGAGCAGAAGAGGCTCTTAATATGCCAGTTCTGCAGGCTTAAGTATGAGAGGCCAGTGACAACCAGTACCTTGTGTGGTATGCGGAAAAACCATACTCCTGGGAGATTGACATCATTGTAAGGTCCCACGCCATGATAGAAATCTGGTCTGCTATCTGCTCCTGTTCCTGCTCCTGCTCCTGCTGATGCTGTTGTGCTCCTAGCTCGAAGTACCTTTTTTGCTTGGGCTGTCTCTAAACCACCGTCTATGGTCTCGTTGAGGTCCCCTGTATTGGAAGCTGATTTCTTGGTTGTCAAAGTTTTTGGTGCTCTCATTTCTTCCAGTTCTGATCTATCCCAGAGCTGATCTTCACTGATACTGTACACATTCAGTTCATCATCATCAAACTTTGAATCTGACTCATTGGCTTCTTTGGGAGTTGCGTTCATGCTGTGTTTCTTCCAGAGATTGTCAAATGCCCTAAAAGGTACATTAAAGAAGTTTATTACAATGGAATCTGAAATGAAACAGTTTTATTACCTAATGACAGGAAATACTGGATATAAAAATTTTGTCTGTGAGTAAAACCTAAAATGCTTTGTTTGATGTTGCTGCCTAAAAAAAGCTATTTTTTCACCAATTTGTACCTTGTCTCCAAGAAATAACCCATAAAAGTATATTCTTCAAGACGCGTACTTTATTTTATGTCACACAAACTGAGATTTGCACTGTATAGTACTATCGTTCATACATATCCAGTACACCCAAACCGTTGCGATTCGTCTACGGTTGTTGAGGAATCGTCACACCGGATGTCGAATCGCGCTTTAACATAACGGAAGTCGAGAGGCGTAAGCAATATGTGAAATTACCATGGTATGCCAGAAGTCGAATCGCGCGTTAACATACCGGAAGTCGAGGGGCGCGCACGTGAGCAATGAGTGAAAATGAGTGGCATGGTACGAGAACATGACAACATAAACCTTCCACGTTCTTAAAGCGTGAAACGACCGGAAGTCTATCGTCTGAATATTATAAACTATAACTGAGTCTCTTGCAAATTGACTTCCAGTATGCGTTTCCATGTCATAACAGATGGTTTTTCAGATGTCCGGTATCACAACACCACTTAGCCGCGAATCGACTTCCGGTTTGACAATTCGTAGCGGTTTGGGTGTATTGGACAACCCTCTCACTGGGCATTAATTTCCTATTTCCCTATTTACTACACCCACCTAGTTGGGAATACTAATTCTGGTTTCTGTGTATCCACTGAGTCCTCCTCGTTGCTTGGCAATGTCATAGGGCTGGAGGTCAGATTGTCAGTCCTTCCAGGTACAAGATATCCCCAGCCATGTTTGCGATTGTAGAGCAGAGGAAAGCCATCCCATGTCATACGCAAGAGGGTGGGTGCTACTTGACATTGTGGGCTGATGGACACAGGCCCCTCCCTCCACTCACCTTTGTCTGATGGTCCCATGCAAAGAGATCTGTACCAACTGGAGACAGAGTGCCACAACATTACTAATTTGCAACCTAGCCTTTTTGCTAAGAGTTACTCTCTGCTGTGACATTTTCCTTCTGTCTGCAAATATGCTGAGAGTATGTATGCAATTGACTGGAAATTAGTTCTTTAATTCTCAACAAGCCTGTGTGGCTAAAATAATAAAAATGGCATATATGTGTTTCGTATAAGTTCAAGCAGTTTTTCCCCAACATCAAGGACTCTTGTCCATCAAGAATGAGAGTTGCATTACACAAAGTGTGTAGATTACATTTTAAAAAAAAAAAAACAAGCTTTCAAACATAATCATTGTCATTTTTAGCATTAGCATTAACTTTGTTATCATCATCATCATTATTGTCATCATTACCACTAGAAAAAAGAAAAAGGCAAAACCTTCAGTCAAAGACTTAAGTGAATGGAGTTCAAAGCAGAGTTCTGATCACTAGATTACAGGAAGTCCTTCCTTTCAGCAAAGTCCAAGGGGTAAGTAAAAAAAATAAGAGGAAGAAAATGATTTTAGTGAGCCACACAGAACTCTGGGAGCAGGGCCTCCTGATTATGCATCTCCGTCCCAGAATTTTGCACTGATCTTGCTTTTGACTGCCATGACAAAATTTTGCCAAAATAGAGTTATTACTCTCACTGAATCAAGTTTCATGATGTTTATAAGGTCAGAGATGGTACTTCTAAACCAAGTGTTAAAAGCCCCACTTACTTAGGATAACCTGGTAACTTCTGCCGTCTTTTCCACATAACATCTGCTGCTGGTGGGATTCTTGCCAAGATGTCAGACGAGTTTTTCAAACCCTCTACCACCTCAATATTATTGTCATCAATCATCTCATCTTCAAGAACCTCTGAAGTGACATCTTTGCCAGTTGAACCAAATAGGGTTGATGGCAAATCTTCATTTATACCCTTGTTACAACTTTCAGTTTTCTTTGTCTTCTTTGGAGGTTTAGGTTTTTTTGTTCTTATGTCTTGGACAGACCAATCCAGCTCCCACAGCCAGGGGTCCTGTTCATACCTTAAAAACACAAATGAGTTATCATTTAACGTGCTTATTCTCCACACTCTGTTCTCCGTTTACACAGCCCTTACAAGAATAATTTATTTAACCCTGTTGCTCCAAAGATCTTGTTTGCAGTTATCCTTACTGGTAGTCATACAATTCTTATGATGTTAGTGCAAAACATTTGGCATTGGATTAAACAACAATCCCCTCACTGAGACTTTTCTTAATTCTTCTCACTGCTTGATATAGTATTGATATTGTAAGGAGAACCTGAGTTCTAAAGCTCACACAGGCCACAAGCTTGGTTCTTAGTCATCCATCTGTTAGAGCTTTGATAGCTGAGTCAGTTTAAACATTTTTTTAAGCCTTTCCAGAAAACCTTTAGATAAAATTTGAAAAGTTTCAAGGGAAGAAAATATTAAAATTTTAACATAATTTGTTAAAAAAATAAATCAAGGTTAAGAATCTCGCAAACCTTTTGCCATGAAGGTAGTTACATGTTTCATCAGCTAGTTTCATCAAAGAACACTTCATTTCCTTCTCCAGATCTTCATAAGTGTCATCAGCATCTCGGATGTAGTTTTCCCAAGAACGATCAACGGGAAGATAAGCTGATCCCATCTCTAGCATCCCAGCAAAAGATACTGGGTGTGGGAATCTATCCAAGAACTTTGGCCACAGAGCAGCAAATACCTCTTGAGTTGCTGTAGTATCCTGTGCACAGTATGTGACTAGATCCTGTCAAGAAATTGAATTGAAAAGTGATTGCACATTGGGCGAAGAGATTTGGATTTAGCATTTGAGGTATGCAGTATTCATATTCCAAGCTTGCCATCTACAGAATGAGATAGAAATCTGGTGCATGGTTGGAAACAGCTTTAGAAATGCAAAAGTGTTCACAACAAACACCAAAGGGATTTAAGGTACAAGCTGTAGTTTAATAAACATTAACTGTGTGACAAGCACTGCTTGCAGATTTTCAAACTCCAAGACTTGTTTTTATCAGGTAGATGGCAAAACTTTTCAAATTTCTTTCAAAATCTGTCCAGATTTCTTTGATTTCAAATGGCCTGCCAATTTTTAAATTAATATAGTGCTCAACCTTTTTATGGCAAATTTCATGACAAAGCAATGGCTGCCTTATCCACGCTATGAACAATGTCCAAAAAACCCTTCAATCCACTTGCCCTCTATCTACAATCATCACTGTACAGAAAAAAAACATCCCAGGTTTGAAATACTTGACATTGTGTTACACTAAGAGATCAGAAACACCTGATTAAGGAACCGGAAACTTGTGATTATGATCTTTGTTTTGTTAAAGAAAAGGGTCATCATATATGTTCAGCTAGTTGGTTGTCCAACACATTGCAGAGGTTCATTTCTCTAGATTATGAAAAAGGTGATTTTCAAGGAAACATATGTTGGTACGTTTTCAACATTTTCATAACAATATTTGTAAATCAAATCCCATCCTGCCTTTTGGGATGTTCAAAAACACTTCAAACAGGATTTTTAAAAACAAAGTCCCACACTGCAGAATTTACAGCTATACATGCATACAGTATTTCAATATGTCATTGTTGATAAATAGATAAATAACAATGTTCTGTAACAGTGGGGTATTGCATGTATCTCAGACCTTCCTTTCCTAAACCCTTGTCATACCTGAAAGTTTGCCCTCACATCATCTAGTGTTCCATCGATAAAGATTTTCACCAATGACTTGTCTAATTCATCCCCACCACAATACAGGTTATGAAGGTCTATAAGTTTGTTTCCTGAGCCAATCAGCATCCAAGGCACTTTTCCAATGCGTCCTGCCTTAGCTGATTCCCAAAGGCTGCGTTGAAGACTTGTCAAGCCAGAGATACACATGTGTAAACTTAAGGTGTCCAAGAAGTATGTTTTGGGTCCCTTAAGTGTTACAGTTAAGAATATCAGTTATGAATAACATGAGACATCATTCAATACTTACATATCTACAAAGGGTATTAGAGTTATAACATAATGCATTAACCCCAAAAGATATCATCCCCTAATATGCCTTACCATCAGAGAAGCACTGCATTTAGAAGTGTTCTTGGGCTAGACACTAGGTCAAATTCAGGAGTGGCATTGGCTACTGCCCAAAATGTTATTGAATGGACTGTTATCAACAAGCATCTTAACCAGGACTTGCCACGATCATTCAATGCTACAAAAACCTGCATAGGCATGCACCAGCACCTGGTGGTTCATATTGCTCAAGTGCAGAATTTACCTTTTACTTTATTTCCTTTAAAAAGAGTAAGATTATACAAGTCAAAAAACTTGAAATGTTTACACTTTAACCCTTTCACTCCTAAGATCTCATTATTGATTCTCCTTACTGTATGCTATACAATTCTTATGATGTTAGTTCGGAGAATTTGGTATTGAATCAACTAATAATCCCCTAACTGATATTTTTCTCTCTTCTCATCACTTCTCTGTTTGATATTGTTTAATTGATTTGGTGAAGAGAAATTCCATCTTGGTCACTCATGGTTAACAGGTGAACATCTATTCAGTATCCATATTCTCCAAACTCTGCTATATTCTTCCTCTGGTACTGACAAGGAGAATTTGTTTCGTTATCAAAGCCTCTTAGTTTGGCTGGTGATCATTTTCTTTTTTCTAATGATCTTAATGAATGATTCAGCAGTATATTACTGTAAGCTGAGAAATTAGATATGGCATTCTTGATTTAAAAGGGCTGATAAATCAATCAGTTTACAAAGTTTAACTACTGTCAGTAACAATTACCAACCAATCGTACCTTGATATAATATTGTTCTTTTACAAAAGATCTGTCGAATCCCACAGAATGACCCACAACAAGCCTTTCTTTCCACTTGGTTGAACTCCACTCCTGATCTTTGGGCAGTTCCAATGGAATATACAGTTTAGGAGATGGTCTCAGAAACATGTTGTAATTCTTGTCTTCCACAAGGCTTGGACTGACCCAGCAGTACCTAAGTAGCAGCAAACACAGTACTGTTACTTTAACAAGCAAGCATCAAGCACTAAAATTTCAAAGAAACCTATCGCTAAAGGGTTATTGATTGTTTAAAATGAATTTCAGGTACAATACAATTAAACAAATTTATATCTGATCAAGAAAAATACCATAAAAAGAGGAAATACAATAATCATACAGTAAACATTGTGAATTTGTGCATGATAAATTCTCTACAATGTAGTCACTGGTCAAGGCATTTATTTCAAATATAGGATAAGATAGGGCACTTACACCTGTAATTATAGGAGGGGGGGTTGCTGAATTAAGGACAAATGCTCCTAACAATAATATGGTCATATTAACTTGTGATATTGCATTTGTGTGTAAACAAAAAAACAAGCTGTGTGTTATTTTACAAAGCCCAACTGAAACATTCTAACCCTTCGATCCCCTAGGTTTGATTTACATCTAATTTCTCCTTAAATATCACCCCTGGATCACACACTAAGATAATGAGAATAAAGGAAATGATCACCAACTGAAAAAAAGCTCCTGATTGTTCAACAAATTCTCCTTCTCCGTACCCTAGGAAATGTATAAAGAACTGTATGGAGAATAAGCATACTGATGTTAAGGTGTAAAGTTGGTAGAAATTTCATGAACTAAAACAAGTTCTGTGCAGTGCTGATGAACATTTTTCCTTAAAAACAGTAACAGGTAGAAGTTGGTCACTAGAGAAGGGGGTACATTTGAATGTTATAATAAATCCTGGGACATAAATTATCACTTATCATTACCACGCCTTGGGAGATACAGCCACTGCAATCACAGGAAATGGTCCTTCTTTCATGCACACCTCGACATCAAAGATCAAGGCATCATCTTCCGGCACATCCACTGGGGAGGTGACCAATCCTTCGTCACCATACACATACTTAGTCCATCCCGGAGAAAAGTTCCATTCATCTGGTATGGCTGACAGCGTCGTTTCCGCTAACATCTGAGCTTTCTCAAAATATGGTCTGCTCTGCTCTTCTGCGATCGTTCTAAAGTGCTCATCAATATTTGAACCTTGTAGAGGTGGAAGCTGGAAATCGACATCAGGCAGAACTGATCCGGTCTTGCTCCACAAATTGTGCACCCCTAGATGTTGTTGACATGTTTTGACCGTTTCGGAATCGTAAGCCTCTGATTTACCGTAAAATACTTGACTGTGTAATTCTGTAGACAGCATCTGAATTTCTAGAGGGTTAAACCTCTTTGGTTCGTTTTCCGAACTTGCAGCTTTTGAGTCATTTTGGATTTTGGAAGAACAACGGTGCCTCACCAACCATCGATAGCAAAGTGGAACTCGATCCACAGCTCGTGAATTACGAACTAATGCTTCAAAAACACGATACATCTTTTATGACGTTGTCATCTCTGCAAATCACGTACATTCAGCGAGGGACTTCCGTGAAATACATAAAAATCCTTCAGAACGATGCAGTAGTCAATCGCAGGGCGTCCTTGCCGCCATTAAAGCAATGTTGCCTAGTAAGGGAGGGCTAAGTGATGCGCATGTTTCTGATAAAAAGTACATAACAGCCCCTAAATATGAAGTGATATGTTGGCTTTTATTTTTATATTTCAAAAAATATTTTAAAAGATATCTGAAAGTCTTATCAGTCCCGTTAATTACCTCAAAGCTTGTTTAACACGAGTTGTTTCATCCCCTACCTCCCTTCCCTCACCCCTGCATTTACACCTTACTCGGAAATCCGCTGACACATTTATTTCGGGACACGCTTTTGCCTGATGCAACACCCGCTGGAGTAGTTGTAAAAAGGAGTACAAAATTTGAGTAATTCAATAACTTTTCCCTCTTTTAACCGATTACTTTAATTTAAAGAGTGTGGAAAGAGGAAAAAAGAATGGCTGCTGATTCTTTGAGCGCAGACATGGAAAATATGGACGTACAAGGTAAGGGAAGGTCCACGTGATTCCAGAAGAATAAGCTCTTGTAGAGTGCTATACAGATATTGAACCAGCTTTCGAGATTTCTCGAGTAATTCGTGAAACACGGCGTTTGATAAAAGACTACAGCTGTTTTTTCGAGCACTCTATCCAACTGAGGTCAGGCATTGATTGATTTTCAAGCCATTCAATAATCGCGTGCAAAATTTGTACATTAATCGAAGCCAATTTTTTTTCATGCCATGAAAAAAAATGGCTACAGTTTAACCACACCGTTAGGTGTCCTGGAACTGTGGTTAAATACTTTTATTTATAGCTGCACACTTCTTGCATTACGTGTAAGAAACCTAAATACTGTGTAAGAGGTTTTTTCAATTTCCCAGCAATCAATTATCGTCCATTGGACTGATTTCTCATTTCTTTCTTCCGCTTCTGAAATCGAAAGTAAAAGTATGTACACGCCAGGACAGGCATGACATGATCAAGTTCATAGCTTTGATGGTTTTTTAAGTTGCTTTGCATATTTTTCTTCATTTGAGAAAGTCCGTGAAATGTTACCATATTTTGAAAGGATAGTTTTGGCTAGCTATTTACATATTTTATGCTAATTATCATGATATCTGTCGTATCCTGATTGGTGAACACAGCATGCCTAAGTGTAATGATAATTATTGCTTAGCAATTTTAAAATTGCTGAAAGCAAAATGAATATACAATTGTCAAGCCATTCTGTAAACAAAGTCTTGGAGGTCATTTACCAAGTTTAGCTTAGTCTAATACAATTGTTATAATAGTTTATCTTTTTTCCCTAACATGTGTATGATATTCTCCATACTATTCTCCACATATTTCCCGAGGTACTGACAAGGATAATTTGTTTGACAATATATTCAAGAGCTTTTTTTAGTTGGTGATCATTTCCTTTATTCTCCTGACCTTGATGATTGTTCCAGCAGTGAAATTTTTAAGGAGAAATTAGATGCTAGGTACTTTTAGAGGTCAAAGCCCTTTGACAGTCCAAGATCTAAATATTAACTCTCCCCACTGTTTACCATACAAATGAGAAATTGGAGTTAATTAGACAATATTCGTTGTTGATATTTTGTCTTTCTTCTCATCACTGATCTGCTTGGAAATGTATCAATTTTTAAAGGGGAAATTCCTTCACTTCTTGGAGCTAAAGAATTAATTACTTGTGGTATTATCAGAGCAATTACATTTATTTATCTTCTTCAGAAACAGTAAACAAAAGTAGTGCTTCTGTGTCAATGACATTGCACTGAGATTATTTTAGCCAGATATTTTGGAGTCATATGAAAAGAGGCTATTCAATAATGGCACTCTAAATTGCTTAGTAATTTAAGTGGTTAAGTTAGGGAAGGTTTGATAAATTTGATAAAAAAACATACACCAGAATATCAAGGAAAGACTAGCAATCCTTAAGTAACATTAATTTTGAAACTTCTGGACAGACAAATTTTTCAAACTTTCCAGCCAATTAGTGTTTCGTAGTATTTTTTATATGCAGGAATTTGCTTTATTATGTTCAAAACTCAGTGACTTGTATTTTTCAAAGCTAGCCCTTGTTCTGCAATCTTACTCACATCCTACTTAATTGTTAACATTCATATTAATAGATTTTAGCAATACTTAGGAACACAGGTACCTTTATGGCAAATTTTGTGAGTCAGTTGTTTATTAGTTTCCATACATCTGAAAATATATATTTCTTGTTTTGGTTTGCTCCAACTAAAAATTTTTTAATCTGCTTTTTTTATTATTCTTGGACTCAAGTATGACTTTTCCAAAAAGGTTTTTTAATTTTTCACTCTGTTATCACCTTCAAAAATTCCACACAATTTTTCTTATAAAATTCCACAAGATATAGTAGTCTCTCTGTTTGAAATTTTTTCCAGGTCCTAGCTAGTTAGCTAGAGATGCGTTACTTTTCCCTTTCCTATCTTCGAAGGGGGACCTGGCTATGCACCCTAAAGCTGTCTCGTTCGGCTCATTGCTGTAAGCCATATAGGCTCATAAAGGCCCATGCTCAAGACAGTGCAAACCAAGTTAGCTTAACAAGGGCCATTAGAATGTATTGCCCCCTTAAGAGCATAGGTTAGTGAAGTGATGCATTCTTTTATGTGCTTGCGTACTCTTGTAATGGAATTGATACAGCTTATAGATCATTAGTTTCAAGGTGGCATTTTCTGTCAGTATTTTTAAAGCCTGCATGAAGATATTAAAATAAGCATGTGCACTCAATCAGAAGTGGAGTTAATTTTTATGGTTATAATGTACCAAAAATTTAGTTAATGATCCTTTTCATTCATTTCAATTTGATACATTAGAAATCTACCTTAGTTGGTCAGTATATATGTGGCATGAATTACTTATAAAGGAAAACTCCTTACAGAGATTTGTCTAACAGGGTATTTTTGCTGCGGTTGTTATGGAATATCACCATTTTCTCCCCTTTGAATTTTTCTTTATTAGCCAATGGCCCAGTGATCTACACTTCAGAAAAAGAAGGAAGTGATGAGTCTGGAGATGGATCTGCTCAAAAACCATTTAAAACTGTTATGCAGGTATGTTTTCCACCATGACACAATTTAGTTTACATTTAGTCAATTATTCTAATGCTGTTTAGTTGTTGGTTTGGAAATACATTGAATATAACTGATGGGAACATGTGGCATTTTTTCCTTGTGCAAGGCTTTGCGCATCACTGATGGAGAGGAACCTCTTCCTCAAATTATGGTGGATGGGAAAGCTGATGGAGAGGTATTGACAGTGCTCATTAATTTACTTTCTCTTCAAAATTTCCAGCTTATTATAAAATGAATCGGTTTTTTATTTCTGGGCAATTGAGAATTGTTTCTGACCTTCCCCTTCCTTGACAACCCTTGTTCCTCTCTGTTCCTGCACTCTTTACCAAACATTCTTTCTTTTTGTTGACTTCCAGAATTCAGAAGGACACCACATAATGCATTCTTAATTTGCTGTTATGAGTATTACTTATTTCATGTATGATAAATGATCCTGCATAAATTTTCAAACTAATGAGTGCATTTTTGGGTTGATCAATGTATTTTGCTACGATTCCAGAGGTATGAAAAACTTGCCAAGGCTCAGCTGAAGAAAGTGACCAAGATTTATGCACAGGAAAAAAAGAAGTCAGAAGACAGAGAGAAGAAAGAGGTGATGGAATCTGTTTCTCATTCAGTATAATTGATATGCAAAAGTGCTAATCAAGAATTTTGAGGCACCTTGAAGTTTCAAGGGGAAAATAATAGCAGTACTAAAGCTGAGACAGGAGAAGGGGTGGGAGGCCATAAGATGAAGGAATCATACACCTGCATGACTACTTTTGATGCACTTTGACATCAAACATTCAACTGGAATGTCCTTGTTGTCATTGGCATTTTGAACCAAACAAAGCAGACAGAGAGTTGTTAGGAAATCACACTTGGTTAGCTCAAGTTGTAGAATGCTGGACTGTCATGCAAGAGGTTGAGGGTTCAAGCACTAGACTGGACCAACTCACAGGGTCTTAAAATAACTGAGGAGAATGTGTTACCTTTGCTTCAACATAATCAGCAGATTGTTAGACATTCTAGTCTTCTTGGGTAAGGAAGATAAGCCATAGACCCCATCTCCTGCATCATTCCTCTACTGGTTAGCAGCCCTGAGATTTTAAAAAACCCACACACTTCTCACAAAGAGTAGGAAACGTAGCTCCCAGTGTTTTGGTCTGGCCTTACTATTGTTTATATGGGCCCAATGGGTTAAATCAGCTCTGAGCTGAAGTGGATCACCCTGTCTAAATACTGATCACAAATACATACATGTTCATACATGAGGGAGATTTCACCGGTGTAGGTAGTACTTTTGCAGTAACCTCACTTTACATTCATAGTCCTTTGAATGTGCAATTTTGGAGCATAACAGTATAAAATTAATTTAGTTACTAATTAGTGTTACATTACATCACATGGTAGGCTGAAAAAGCACAGCAAAGAGAGAAGAATCTGGAAGAGGCCAAGAAAATCACTATTAAGGAGGATGAGAGTTTGCCAAAAGCTACAAGGGTAAGCATTTAAACACATGCATTGTGGTACTCACTACACTTTACATATCATTTGCTCTCAATCTGTACGCGGAACTTTCTTATTTCTGGCTGCAAAAATCCACTTGTTATTGAACACTTAAAATTAATGCTGAAAAATGATGTGGAAGGAAATAAGGTGCATATAAATTTTGCCATTGCTGTTGTCAAGTTTATGTTAAACCTAATTTGAATTTCTTTCAAGGGTACTTTTACTATGAATTGTTCAAATTGTGTGTATTTTTATTTTTGAAATAATTTGAACAGATACAGATCAGTGAGTCAGTAGCTAACCGCGACAAGAGAGTGAAGGTATTTGGTTGGGTTCACAGACTCCGAAGACAAGGTGAGTTTCTATGGACAGTATAGTCTATAAAGGTGTTGTTAGGTCACGGTTGTGGCTCCACAGAAGCTGCAGCCCCACCATGATTTCTTGTAAAGTAATTGAAAAGATTAAATAGCCTGAATTTTTTTATCTCTCTTGGTATAACTGAATGTTATAGTAAGATGATAAGTTGATATGTTTTACTATATCCTCCCTTATATTTTTGCACCAGGTAAAAACCTGATGTTTATAGTTCTTCGAGATGGCAATGGGTTTCTTCAGTGTGTCTTATCAGATCTTTTGGTAAGCAACACAAATTATATCTTTGGATTATTCTTGTCAAAAAATTCAGTCAACATGGGTACACTGTGGCTTTAAAGATCACCCTGTTCAAATGTGTGCAAAGTTTAATGTTAGTACATTTACTATTAGAGCTAATAGCCTCTAACAGTTTAATTAATTTCCCTTTTTTTTCCTTCCAAGCAAAAGTGTAACACTTGAATGTAATTATTAATTTAAATGTAAAATTTTGGTGATCGTGTTAAAGCTAGCTAAAGTGAATTAATAATATCTTAAATCTTGACCATACCTTAGAGTATTGAATTTTTTTTTTCACTTCTCAGTGTCAGACCTATGAGGCTGTAACATTGGCCACTGAAGCCTCTGTGTGTCTCTATGGTGTAATCAAGGCACTTCCAGAAGGAAAAACAGTAAGGCACTTTTTCATTTCTTCATCATCTCCTTCAATATTCTTCTAGGAATAAGGCGTTCATGATCCTTTCCTATTTCTCTACATTCTAGGCTTTAAGTTCTATTTTGTTCCATGATGACCATATCAGTTTCATTTCTTGATCCACACCTGCTAGTCTTTTAAAAATCCTAAGTTGCACTATTTTTCCCTGGATTCTAAAGAAGGATTATTTGGTAACCTGCTCAACGTTTGTCTTGGAGGTGTTCTTCAGCATTTGGTTGAAATGAATTTCATACATATCTCAGCTTAACTTAATTTTTCCCTTCAGGCTCCAGGTGGACACGAAATGGCTGTAGATTTCTGGGAACTTGTTGGGGATTCCCCTGCTGGTGGAGTTGATAACCTGGTGAATGAGGTCAGCAGATCTGAGAATGCTCAAGTTATATATTAAAATAACTTTTTAACTCCCATGAATGACCAAGACAGAACTTCTCCTTAGAATATCAATACAATATCAAGCAGACAAGAAATATAGGAATAAAGAAAAATATAAAAAAGGGGATCATTAGTTGATTCAATACCAAATTCTCCAAACTAATATCACAAGAATTGTATAGCAGACAGTGAGAAGAATTACTCAATAAATGAAATCTTGAGAGTGATAAGGTTAAAATAAATCGACTTCACATTCAGTTATTTGTATGTAGGACAGGGTTCAGGAAAGCCTGGAAGCAGACTTTTATAGAAGTTTTACTATCTTTACTGTTCATATTCTTACCAAGAGACATTTTTTCTAACTTTATTACATATTTAAAGATAGTTGTTCACTCACAAAGATTGGAGCAATTCACTGAAGATGTGAATTCTCACTTCTTTTATTTACAAGTTAGGTTTTATAATGTAAGATGTGTGTATTACTTAATAACATGAGTTCTGATAAAAAAAGGCTGAAACTAAAAGCTTAGCATTGCTAATTTAGTGTTAATTTATCAACAGGAATCTGCCATAGACACCCAGCTTGACAATCGGCATATTATGCTCAGAGGTGAAACGGTGAGTTCAATATTGAAATTCTCCTTTAATTTCTCACTCCTGAATTGACGCATTTGCTTGTGAGGTAATACTGACAATACAGGTTTTGCATCCTGACCTACATGTAGTCATTTTGTACATCTTAGGTTTCCAAGATCCTGAGAATGCGCTCAACAGTTACACAATGGTTAGTGAGCTACATTTATTTTAGATTAAACATAGTGTCATGTAAACTCCACATGTTTTTTAATAACAGGACATTTTTGGAATGATTCAGGACAGTAATATCACTCTTGTCACTTAATATGCTATTAATAGTCATCCAAAAATGGTAAATATCCCACAATGCTTCATGTACATGCAATCATTGGTTTTACAACCCTTGTATCCTCTCTCTGAATATGGTAACTGGCATGTGTTCTGTGAGAGTGGTTAAAGTAAACATACATACCCCCATGGATCGCCTCTGCCATAATTCCTATTGCTGCCAGGGATCTTGGAAAAAATACACAAAATCTAGACTCACCATTGACAATTTGATGAACATTACTATGCAATTATGAATACTTTTTCAAGATATATTCCATTTGAATCAAGGAGACATTTCTTTTCTGGACTATTATAATGTTAGTGTCATAAGGTTAATACCAGATTTTGATCAATTTACTGAGAGTTCAAGTTCCCAATAATAGAAAGCTAACTTGCAATGATGTATTCAAAGAACTTCATTGTTTTAGTTTCAGAGCTCATTACTTCAATCGCAGTTATGATGAGGTAACACATTTGAAAGTTAATCAGAAGTGACTAAAAGTCAATTAATTTTCTGTTACACATGATACATACAAATAAGTGTACATTTTACAGGAAAAATGATATTTTCTCAATTTTTGTCCATAATAGGAAATCCATCCAACACCATACCATTTTCATTTGAGATCATCTTAAACAATAATTAAGTAATAAGTGATGAGAACAACGAGTTAGGTTAAGTTTGAAAGATGCATGTAATTAACTGATACTCCTACTGACAATTAGTTGTAGTTTGAGTCAGAATACTATCAGTTAATATTAAATTGTATTTATTTGTCTTCTGACAGGTATTTCCACCTACCATGGTGCAAACACAAGTGGAAGGAGGATCCACTCTCTTTGATTTCAATTATTTTGGTGAACCAGTAAGTTTTGAACTTTATGTGTTGCTTAGGTACAAAAAATTTGGTAATTTATAGGCCTTTGTTGGTCAATGGGTAATTTTCCATCAGATATCAGTGTGATACATGTATGTAGGAAAATTGGTTTACTCAAGGCTATTTAGGTGTTGTTGTTGTTGTTTTTTTTTTTAGTAAAATTTCTTTGCTTGTACTGTTGACCAATCATCAAACACTGCATTTTTTATTTTTCAGTTACTCTGTGTAGGAAATATCTTAGTCTTTTAGTTAACATTTTTTCAAGGCTGTGACCTTTAAATGTGTGGCAGCTTATTCAGAAGTACTAAGGTGTGGGATTTCAGAGAACTTGATCTTTTAAAAAAAGAACAAATTTTCTGTAATGCTGTATATAACTAGAGGCGTGATTTGGAAAAGTTGATTTTCATTGAGATAGTTGTGTCAGAGGCAGTTTGAATTTCATAATTACAAGCACTATTGTGAATATGCCTTTTGATGAATTTACATATTAAATTGTATGATGTTATTATTTGATTATTAGGCATATTTGACACAGTCATCCCAGCTTTACCTGGAGACAGTAATCCCAGCGCTTGGTGATGTGTTCTGTATTGCTCAGTCATACAGAGCTGAACAGTCACGTACAAGAAGGCACTTGTCAGAGTAAGTGCTGGTTGGTTACCTGTAGCAAGCAGGTGGAAGTTGTTATCATAATCTAACACAAAATGATCCTAACTAATTTGCAAGGGAAATGTGTAGTAGCTAGAAGGGAGAATTAACAATCAGATCAAGTTTAGTTGCAAGGCTGTGTTCTTGCAGAGACTGATTGACACAGGCAACTGACATTTGTGCAATTTAGGCAACCTAGATTTGTAACACGAGCCTTCAAGCATCCACTGACTCATCTAAAAGAGCAAAAACTAGAAAAATAAAACAAATTCAAACTGTGGTACCCAATATATGCCCATTGCTTTAAATGCAGTCTGCGTAAGCAGTCAATTGTGGTTAGTATGCCCATGTAGCACTTGGTTCCCACTCCTTGATTCTTGGAAATGTAGGAAATTGCATGTAAGGTAGCTAGTCCAGAATTTCAGCATTCATTGTGTAAACATGATGCCAGGCTACATGATTTTAAATGATTAAAAGTGCCTTGATATTAGCAGGCAAGTCAAGAATTTAAAGAAAGCGACAAAACTTTTGAGTCTGTAAAACATGTTTCAACAGAAACTTCTGTCATCTTCAGTTAATTACTGTACAAAGTGTTGGAAGTTGAATTATAGAGTAAGTAGAACAACTAACTAACAACTTTAGATTAAAAGTGCATTTTCACGTCAAAAAGTAATTATAATATTTCTTCACTTTGCAGATACACTCATGTGGAAGCTGAATGTCCTTTTATATCATTTGATGATCTCCTGGACAAAATTGAAGATCTGGTATGGAAGCACACTTGATCTGTTTATTGGTTTGGCTTTCTGATTACCTATTTATCATCCAAGTGTCATATTTTATTACAATGTTATGTAAACTGAGGCCATCAATTAATTTTTGTACTTCTATTTGTTCTTTCAGGTATGTGATGTTGTGGATAGAGTGCTGAAATCTCCCCATGCAGACATACTCAAAGAATTTAATCCAGTAAGTACAGGCAAGAAATCTTTAGAAAACCGCAGAAACTGATCCTGCTTAAGTAACACAATAAAATCTGTTATTAGATAGAAAAGGTACAAAGTCATTACTAACTTATAAAAAAGCACTTACTGAAACGTTTGATCAGGATAATGTTTATACTTGGAAATCGTTGTGTCCTAAGTGCTATTCCATTAGGAATTTAAGCAGTTTTCGTCAGTGTTGTTTTTAGTAGATATTAATAATTATTAATCTTTAAATAAGAATTGATATATATTTTTTACTTGTAAATTCTTATAGTTATATATATATATTTTGATATTTTAGTGAATTATCTATTTTATTCATATTTTGCTTAATTCTCCCTTGCCGTTATTTTTATTGGGCTTTCACCTAGTTGGAACTTGCTCTGTCATGACTGTCCCTTACTGAGTTTTTCTCTTCACTATTGTTAGTTTTGGTTTTTTTTTTTTTCTTCTTCTTCTCTTACCAATTTACTTTACCTGTCATCTAACTATTATTTGTCATATTTAAAAGTTATGTACTCAGTACAAGTCAAATAAATAAAAAATAAATAACAATGATTATAATTCAGTTACTATTAATAATGATCATTTACTAATAATAATTTTTTTGGCAATAATTATCATTTATGTTAACAATTTAGCTCTAATGTGCAAGGCAGAAGAAAAACAGATGGAGGGTTTATCAAAATATTTGTATGTTAAGATAACAATTAGTGCCTAGAAGGTAGCCTGATTATCCCAAGGACTTTTAACTTACATGCGAAATCTCTTGTGTTCTTTCAGGATTTTAAGCCACCCAAGAGACCATTCAGGTAAGTCCATGAGCACTGCATGAATATGTTTAGATTGTTTCAAAAAGAGTTGTCAGTTGTTTTGGATTGAATTTGGATTTTCAATTTACAAAATTCCAAATAATTTTTCTTCTTTATTGGGTAATTCTTATATATTATAACTTACATTTTTTTTCATTAGGAGAATGAACTACAGTGATGCCATCAAATACCTTAAAGAACATGACATTAAAAAGGAAGATGGCACCTATTATGAATTTGGAGAGGTGTGCAATTTCAGTAGATTGCTGAGTAAAAATATAGACATTTGATATCGATTTCAAGTTGATATGTCAACAGTTCTGAGGATCCACCTCATAGAGTTTCAAAATTTTTTTTCAATGTGGATACTGCTTTAAATTCTCAGAGGTGCCTGATAATAGAGTCCTTTAACATAGGTTAAAAATGTTTTAGAGTGGAATGTACTCTGTTAGTGATAATCTTCTTGGGTCTCCTTGTTAAGGACATTCCTGAGATGCCAGAAAGGAAGATGACAGACCAGATCAATGAGGTAAATCAGTCATTCAGTCATTCATAAACTCCAAATAGTTACCATTATGATAATTTTTTTTGTATAACCCTTTAATTTACTCTTAAGATTGATTGGTGTCTAATTTCTCCTCACAGTATCACCATTGAATCAAACACTTAGGGTTTTGAGAATAAGAAAACAATGGCTAACTTAAGTAGGTCTTGATTGTACAGCAATTTCTCCTGGTCAGTACCCCATGATTGTAGCACATAGAAAAGTGTGGAGAATATGTATACTGATGTTAGGATGTAAGGGGTTTTAATTTTGTTGTCGTTTTTGTTTTAGCCAATCCTCCTGTGTCGCTTTCCTACCAACATTAAGTCTTTCTACATGTACAGATGTCCAGAGGACAAGGGTCTGACTGAATCAGTAAGTACACAAGTTTTTTTGAAAGCCTGTAAGCCAAGTTCTACAAATGCAGAGTTGTCGTGGCTATAATCCATTATCTTAGTCAAAATTGTCCAAACATTTTTTTGTCTGCATTCTTGTCAATGTTAGTAACAAATTAATAGGAATACATTGAAAGTAAAAACAACCACAACAAAACAAAAACCAAGAATGAGAGGTAGTGGAGTGTGTCAGTCACTTTAGATTTCCTACAGCATCTACTACCTTTTTTGACAACGTAAAGGTTCATAAAATATTCGTCATATCTACATGTACACGTAGTTTTGGAAAATGTGACCACAAAGGTTGCATCCTGCCTATGGGCATCCATGCCTTGCTCATCATTAAAAGTGTGCATGTTAAACTTAGGTTGATCTCCTGATGCCTGGAGTTGGTGAAATTGTTGGAGGATCCATGAGGATGTGGGAATATGTAAGCATTTGGAAAGGATGACATATTTGTGTTCCTTACAATTTTAGTGTAGTTTGGTGCAGCGTCCTGATGCCACGATCCTTGCATCAGTGACTCCCCCCAAAAAAGTAGGGCCTACAGATAAGAGATCTTCCATTTAGCTAAAAACAAGTGAGAAACTGAGTGAGCATTTCTCCACCATTGAACACTTAACCTTTCAAGACATAAATTTAGCACAAACATTCCCAATAATTAATAATGTTTTAGTTTAACAACTTGAAGCAAATGTGCAATAACCTAATTCTCCCTATGGTTTTCATACATTATCCAGCAAACAGTCAACAAGAATCAAACTTATAAGGGAATAATTGTTATCTTGATTTAACACCAAATTCTCATATCTAATAACATAAGTGATAGGGGAGAATTAACTATTAGATCTTCAGAGTTAAAAGGGTTAATACTAAATTAATTTTTTACTTAAAAGCTTCAACATATCCCCCCCCCCCCCCCCTCAACCACCATCCCAGGGGCCAACATTGTGTGCAGATTTATTTGGTGGCCAATTTTTTTGTGAAAGGCAAATATTAACAATCTTCTCAGCCACTCCACTTGGGAAGGAGAAATCTTTACCTTTGGACACCTCCATATTTAGGTAAAATACTTGTATTCCACCAGAAAGACTTGACATTTCCAGTTCAAATCCCCCACCTCAGCCAGATAAGGTTCAAATCCCCCACCCACCAGGACAGACAACAGTAAAATGCCTGTCAGTTGTTAAGGGGGGGGAGTGGGTGGGGTGTTAAAGCTTCAAATTGATTGGCACATCACCCCGTTCCTGAATTGATGCTTATACCTTTGATTTGTTTAGGAGGAGCTGCTGGAGGGTTACAAGAGAGAGGGTATTGACCCTAGCCCTTACTACTGGTACACTGACCAGGTATGTCTTTCCTACTGTCTTGCTTAAGGTTTAAGGGCAAATTTTTTTGCAGTGTGTTTTATTAATGATTATTGGTCACTTGTTTAGGACACTTTTCTTTGGGATTGGGTAAAAATGGAATGGCCTTTGAGTAGAGCTGAGTTCAAGGACCAGTTTTAACCTTTTTACTTTTAAGGGTGAAAAAAGTGCAAAAATACCTTGTGCAATAATAACACACTGTCCAGGAAATGGAGGGTTAGAAAGTCCTCTATCTGAAAATATTGTTTTAATCTATACACACTCACAGTTATTCTCACAAATAACTAAAGAAGAAAAGACTACTTACATGTTGGTGAATATCTAAAGGAAGAATTAGCTTTCATTGGAATTTTTCTTCATTGTGGTATTTAAAGATAAAGTGCATCTTATACAAGTGTTGTGAAAACAACTGAAGTAATATAAAAACAGCAAAAATCTGGCATGAGTTTTCTGGAGCAATCATGGAGGGGTAGTGAAGTGAAACAAATGTTACTTGTACAGTATCTGGAATTACTTTCAAAACTTAATTGGAAGTCTCTCTGTATAGTAAAGCAATGGGCTCCAACACAAGGCTCTGGAAATATTAATCAAGACTATAAACTGCACTTTCTCTTGGTGTAATAACCCACTTAGGTTGGTGGAACATGAGAACGGTTTGTAACTCATGAGCTGGAGGCTCTGTGGGATTACTGATGGAAAAAAAAAAGTTTTTAGACCAATCAGGGTTCTCATGGTATCTGTCATGTTACAAATTGATATATGGACTTCACCAATAATATGTACAAAAATCATTCCTTTTGTTTTCACCCAATTTTGATGATCAAATTCACAAATAAATGTGTCCTCTTTTTTGTTGTTGTTACTCTCAGAGGAAATATGGTTCTTGCCCACATGGTGGATATGGTTTGGGACTGGAGCGATTCCTCACATGGCTGCTGAACAGACAGCATATCAGAGATGTCTGTCTGTACCCACGCTTTACTGGAAGGTGTCGACCATAAAACAGATGTTCCTCAAAAAATTTTAAATGACCATGAACCAGTCAATATGGGACTTAGACTGAAATGCGTACCTATGGCAGTTCCTTAACAGCTAGAGTGTTATAATAGTTAGACTAAGTGTTAAAATACTTCTATAACAATTCAAGTGCCTGCCTCACAAAATAAAGAATTGTGCTCCCAAAATGTGCTGAGAAATTTCTTTAAGACACCAACTTAAACTTCACCTTTATTTGCATTATTCAGATGAATCAATCTTACACGTACAGTATGAAATCACAGATTATATGCTAGTCACCTTCACGGGTGACTAGCATCCTATTTTTCAACATTGTCATTGCTGAATTTAACATTAAGGTAATGAGAATGGTGGAGATGATCAACTTAAGGACTTCAATTGTTTGACAAATTTTCCTATCATACTGTGGCTAAAATTCATGTCGGTATAGAATGCAAAGTGGAGGATAACCATACTGATACTGCAGTCAAAAGAAAGAGCATCTCCTTGGTTATTGGTATTGAAGGAGATGTTGAAAGATGAGCTGATATGAAATGCATTATCAGAAACATCTCAGAGAGAAAAGCACTAAAGACCTTTGCTGTCTATGGGATAACCACAGTCATCCCAGTTTCTCCTCATTATGGAGAAAAAGGATGATGGGTAACTGCTGTTTCCAGTTCTTAAACAGACAAAGAAGTCTTGCATTTTCAATGTATTGCATGAATATATTTTCTTAGTTCCCAACCCATACCCTGGTTACCAGTTTTCCTTCAAAAAATTATACACATTAAAATGCAACAACACAGTATTGCCCATAATACTCTACTTCCAAATTTATCTATTAATTTCCTAATCTGCAAATGCAGAATATACATGTGTCTTGATAGTTAGTCAATGAAAAAAAAATAAATTTTAAGGTGGCAAATCTTTGGTTTATACCCTCTGACAACATCATTTTGATGACAATTACAGGGAAATGAATTAGTTTTCAGTATATTCATAATATATTAGTTCATTCTGAAGTTGTAAGTACCCTACCTACAAACTTTATTAACAGTGGATATTCTTAGATCTGAAACCTGAGGAAAAGTATGAAAAACAGCTGCTTTTGCCGCAGGTGAAATTAAACAAACTTCTGTTCAGTGCTATTAAGGTCTCTCTCCAATACCACCAGCTAAATCATAAACTATCTGAGAGACTTCTCGTGCCAAAGAATCCACTGCTTCTCTTGTGTCTGCCTCTGCATAAACACGGACAACATCCTCAGTACCAGAGGGTCTCACAAAGGACCTTGCACTTTTATACCCAGCAACAAGCTTATCAATTTCTTCTTGAAGCCCCTCTGGAGCTGTAGTCTTCCTCTCAGAATCTGTTGTTTTAATGACTGTGCGATCCTTGATGGTGACTTTGCGTTGCCTATTGGGGAGGTCTGTGTATGCGGCTCCCCAGTCCTCCAAGCTCCACCCCTTTTCATAAAGGATGGTTTCAACCACTAACATGTCACTCATGGCATCACCCACAGTTTGGTTGATAAGATCTACCATGCTTAAAAACTTTTCAGCTGCTTTGTGCTTCTCAGTGCTAGCATCAGTGTCTTGAACAATAGCCTTCATCTTGGCCACAACATCCTTTGTAAACAGCACAGTTCCATGGCCATTTGCTTCAAAGTAGACTCCAATATCAAATTCTTCAGCTTTGTGGTGAACATGCTTCACTCCTGTCTTTGCACAAGCTACAGGAACACCAAGGGTGCTCTTGGCATAGGATGTTGAGCTACCATTGGCATAAGCTGTCTGGACTATTCCTAAACCTCTTTCGAGTGTCACTCCTGTTTTATCAAGTTTGTCTTTCAGGTAACCCACCATCAAGGTGGCAATTCTATCTCCATCTAACAAACAAAATTTATTTTCTTTGTTGAAAAAAAAATACAGGACTCGATCAGCATCCCCATCGAATGTGACACAACGGTCACCTGGGGTTATAACCATTCCTTCAGGAGCACGTTGATGAAGCTTGACAAAATCAGCACCACACTTTTCATTGAGCTTTCCAGTTGATCCATCATTACACACCCAAATGGAGAGGGTATCATTCAGGTGCTGGGCCATTTCTTTGATTTTCAGAGCTCCTACTCCATTTGCACCATCCAGCTTAATAACTGGTACATCAGTTTTGCCTGATAGTGAACGCAGATGAAGGAAAGCCTTGGAGATCTTCTTGTAATATCCCTCTTCTGTGGCCTCGCCGTATTCACCGGCTGTATTGGCACATCTCACCATGTAATGCAACTGAGGGGTTGACAAAACACCTACAAAAAATTATATTTCACAATTTAAATTTCAAGGTTCAAAACAACATTGTAACCTTTAGACCCCTTCGAATGATTGACATGTAGTTTCTCCTAACAATATTACCCCTGAATTAAACATTAAAGGACAAGAGAATTAAAGAAATGATCACTAACAAAAAAGTTCTTGATTGTTCAACAAATTTTCCTTGTCAGCACCTTTAGAAATGAGTAAAGAACAACTGGGGAATACAGATACTGATGTTAGGATGTAAAGGGTTAACACAGATATAGATACATTAACACTGTAAGGCATTACAACTTTTATACATCACTGAAACCCTTAAACTCCTAAAAGTGACCAAAAAAAAATACTTTTTACATTGTCAACATAAAATCAACCAAACAAGTGATAAGAGGAAAGATATTAATTAAAGGATTATTAGTTGAACTAATACCTAACTCACCCAACTAACATCATAGAAATTATATGGCAGACAGTGAGGGAAATTACTAATGAGATCTTGGGAATGAAAGTGTTAAGCTAATAAGGGTGCCAAAAGGACTTTAATACAGGAAATCTGCATCAGTTGGTAAGAAATTTGAGTTTCGTGTTCATCCCATTACAGTTTAAGATAAACAGGGTAATTAAGTATTATTGACTGAGTTGATAATATAAATTGGCCACCATGAAGGGTTTCAAAACTGATGTTTCAAACGTTAGCCCTTCAGTCTTTCACTATGACAAAGGGCTAATGCTCAAAATGTCAGCTTTGAAACTCTTTACAGTGGCCAATTTAAGTCTTCAACCTAGTTGATAACACCAAATTACCGTGTTAGTCTCCCACCAATGCAGCAACACAGTTTCTTTACAAACTTACCCACTTTACAGTTAAAGATCACATTGTTAACTTTTATTCAGGTGTATAAAACAAAGTGTTAGTTTACCCGCCAAAAAGAAAAAACAGATATGCAGGGATGTTCACAGATTTTTCTTTTCTACCTGAGAGTTAAGAATAAACTACTGCAGCACAGTTTGCTAGAACTGTAAAGAGAAGACACATTGCATTAGGTCACACCAGCTAGAGTCTTAACCCTTTCACTCCCAGAAGTGATTAAAATGTAACTTCTCCCTTTAATATTCATACATTATCCAACAAAAAGGCAATGAGAATATTTAACTTATCATGTACAAGTTGTTTTATTGATCTAGTACCAAACTCTCGTAACTGATTTACATGAAAATGTGAAGCAGGTAGAGGGGAGAATTAACAATCAGATCTTGCAAGTTTAAAGGTTAAGGGTGTTTCTACAAGTTTCACTGCCACCTTGTCACTTATACCAATTATTGTCCAAATACACCACTTTATCCTACAATCAAAGCTGTCATAAAAGACACCCTTGTAAGTTATTCAGCAGCTTTGCATATATTTCTGGCCACCTTCACATGATAATATTAGTATTTCTAAACAATATCACCACAGTTTAACATACCGAGACTCCCCGGCGCTTAGAGGTCGTCCAATTTGGTTAGTATTGGAGACAGGAATTACAATCTTTCTAGAGTTCTAACTTACAAACGAGAACTCTCACTAAACTTGGATAGAGAATACATCTTACCGGTTGAACTAAGGATATGGCCGAAAGATTGAGCTCGGCTCTTTACTTCCGTTCGGTATTCAACCCCTCCTCCCCCAAAGGAAAAATTATCTCCTTACCGTAATCCTGATACGATCCACCCAAAGCTTCAATTCCTTCCGCTAGAGCCTGCACGAACTGTTTACCACTCGGTCTGGTGTCTCGTGCGATGAAAACTTTAGCTGGGACATTCCAATCGATACCGTGTTCTGTGACTACCCCCCTCAGGACTTCAGCCACATCTTCAGCATTGGCAAGTTCCGATGCATGTCTCTCCCAAGATGGCTGTAGCATCTCGCCAAAAGGATCTACAAGTTTCACGCCATTATCGTGCTCTGCGTTATGAGAAGCAGTGACGACCACGCCGATCACTTGTCCATCTTTGGCCTTTGAACGCAGAACGGCGAGCAAGCCCATGCGAAACATCACAGAGTCCAGATTGTCAGCTAGCGTACGAAACCCTGCGGTTCCATAACTGAACTTCATGTCAGGTTTTGGATGTTGCTTACTAACTTCTGCAGCCTTCTGGAGAAAAGGATCCATAATCATAGGAGATTAGAACGGAGAAATAAAGGCTAATCACTAAAAGAAGCGTTGAATTTCCTCACGAAAGGAGACACGTTGGTATCTCGGTTCCAGATCTCTATCGCGCCCGAGTGCCAGCGCACGCCTTTTTTCAAAACTTCACCGCTACCATATAGTCTTGATTACCGCTGGCTCTTCCTCTTCTACCCCTTCGTTTCGACCACTGTTGTGTTCTTCGAACGAGGTAATATATCGACTTTCATCTTTGCCATCCTTGAGAAATATTATAGACTTTTACATGTAACAAATAAAAATGCTATTTCTATGTTTCTGAGACAGATTATTTCCTTTTTTTTCTATAATTCAAGTCGAACTGACTTCTCAGAGCATCTTACGTCTGTGTCATGAAAAATTTGGGCGAAGTTGTTTAATCACAGGCTTCGAATTTATGTGGGACATAAGGTTGAAACAGCTTGAATGTTGAAATTGTTAAACTTTTATCGTTAATTATCGCATTTCAAACTAAAAATTTATCCAAATATTAATCGAACAGAGAAGAAACCATGGCTCGTAACCTGGAAATGGCGGTAGGACTCCACAAGGGTCACAAAACCACGAAAACAGTGCAGAAACCGAAACCATCCAGAAGAAAAGGAGTAAGTTTTTTTC